TTTCAAACGTGGCGGGCTGTTTCCCTCAAATCTCACATTTTTGCATAAGTGTCGGGGGATTCGTACGAAAGATACGCAACTTAGACAAGTGCCTGAGCCAGTGTCATGCATATATACTTATACACCAATTCGTTGGCTATTGTAGAGTTCGAATTCGAATAAGTGTATGGAAATTACCTTAACAGAAAGATCGACACATACTCCCGAAGTCGGATCATTCGCCAGTGTATTCTGGAATTGATCCAAGAAGTGTTGACATGTACAAATATCCCGTAATGCAAGATATGCCTTGGTATCAAGCTCTCATTGAAGCAGGAGATTGTTTGTTTGTTCCGAATAAGTAAGAAAAGTTTGTCATATATTAATTTTAATATACAAAATATCTATACTGTGCGCATATAACTGAATATATCTTTTTAATAAGCGCACCGCACTACGTGAAATCGGGAGATTCGAGGAATATGGCCTTTTCTATCTGGTTCGATGCCCCGAGATCGCTCAATCTAACAGACTGTCCGGAAAATGAAGCAGATTTACCTGACTCAGTGCCAATTGGCCGAGGCGTAATATCAGACTTGGAAAGTGTAAAGTATGCCATAATACGATATTTCAATAAAACATTATTATTCTGATTATAAAGTAGTTGCTTATATGCAATATTATAATGCAATTTTGTGGAACCTCATTACTACTGTCTGGCGAAAGTCACGGATCACTCTGAGAAGGCTTTTTTGGACGGAACCATACGCTTAATGAAAGCATTGTTTGTTCGACGGCAATGAAAGTAAGCACGCTCCTCAGTGAGTATGTTAAGTATCCGCGTAGCGAAAGTGGTTGATCCCCGATACATAACAGCATCTTTTGAAGCAAACTTTATGTTACATATTAGGAAATGTTCAGAAAATTTACTAGTTTTTTCCGCATTTACCAAAATGTTCGTTTTGTATTGAAATTGCAAATTATTAGGAAATATTAAAAAGGGAATTGTAATAGAAGAAAAATATAATTCATTGGAATTTATTTACACTTTTAAACTCTTTTGTCTTTACGTTTACCGTATTCGAATAATCGCAATAATTTTTGATCAGTCAGAAGAAGAAATTTACCTTCTAGAAACCCAAATTCGGGCTGATTTCATGGCATTAGCACCAAACATTATATCTTATAAAAAAGTTCAGTAAAATAATTGACTGGTCTTGTTTATTGTAATTAAGGGCATTTATGTATACAATGATTGATGATCGCACTGATAGACTGTCCGTCATCAAATTTACCAAAATGGTTCACGCGTTTGGTGTGGACGAGGAGACTTCGTCGGATCTTCGTGACGTACTCGATAAGGATAAAGACGGTGAGTTAGTGTTGAACTACATGTGATATTGTATTTCAGAGCACTGACTAATAGTTATTTATTTAAAAATAAATACTGTCTTGTATTCATCATACTGTTTTATTTTAATGAGCATTCGCAACATCGCGGTATTGTAAAAAACAACGGCACATCTCACAAATCTAATACCAACGATGAAAATGGAACTGGATTGTGCTATCATAAGCATATAAATGGAAAAAGTATAGTGTCAATGAATGATAAAGAAACGACCCTGTTAATTAAATTCCTTTCAAAATAGTTTTCAAGCTTGTTTAACTTTGAACTGAACAGCGTGGTTCTTTGTATCTAATATATCATACTATCGTGTTATTTCAATTAGATACTACTCCTTGATAAGTTTTTTTATATGCCCTGATAAAGTTTTTCTGTATAGAAATGTAGAACGTCGCGAATTACATTGCTTTACAAACATCGTATGTGCTCCATATATCCTCAAAGTGTCGTTCATATTGAGTATGCGAAATTCCAAATGTGATAAATAAACTGAAGTGGCGTTACTGATTCCTAATTATTTTTCAAGTTTTTATTTCCTTCCATACTGAACATTCAGGCAGCATATTTTCATAAAATTACACGTTTTTATATCGTGCAGGTTTTATTACCGAAGAAGAGATCGAAGCTATAACAGATGTCACCGATGAGATGTGGTCGGGGTTTTTAGATGAAACAGATGAATACAAAGAGGTAGAAGACTTCAGGAAAAGTAAAAAAGAAAAAGAGGAACTATAGAACTAAAACATTCAAAAAACTTGACCTTAGATTTTGTGAAAATTACCATGAATGTAAATTTTTTGCAATGATTTATTTGTGGTAATTGTTGTTTGATCAATTGTAAATAACATTATGATGAAGTGCGGTAACAATTTTGAAATAGATAACTAAATTGAGAAATGTTGAATTTTTTTATCTTTCAATTTTATAATGGTATGGGTTTAGTTGAGCGTCACGACAAGCACTTATGCATAGAAAAACCGTTGAGAAACTTCAATTTAAAAAAAACATTGAATATATTACACCTAGCCTGTGTAAATACGGGCGGGAGACAGTGCTTAATCAGTTCAACTCCTGCTACACATTCTCATTATTAGTCATTCTCATCATTGTCTCAGTTATCGTCATCAAAAATGAAAGCTCACGCACTTTAGCAAATTCAAAAATATCATTCTCGAGTAGAGTCACGCAAACGTGGCCTAATTATTCTGCTATCATACCTAGAAGGTTGAATGCACAAGGGGCGCGCACAAGATGGCTAGTTTTTGTAAAAAGCATACATTACCTAAATTACATGATCCGTATTATCTTAGAAATCTTCGAATGCAGTAGGAAAAGTATTTTTTTGTTTCGGTCAGCAGCGTGATTTTTCCGTGTCTCTTGGATTAAGTATTTACTCACAAAAAATTTATGTTAACTATAAGTTCCCTTTGGCATAAGCACCAAACATTATATCCTATTGTAGCAAGTACATAAGGATAGTTACTGTGTATTTTAATATTTTCACCACTTATTGTTAGTAGTGCATGTTATTTGCCTGAAACAAGGTCGTTGTCCCAATTTATTTCCTTTATGATATATTTCTCTCACTCAGTGTAGCTTGTCTTTGCCGTTCTTTGTTAGTTAGAAATTTGGTTTCATCACATATATATATACTTGCTTTAAGGTTTCAGGTGTAAATCGTTATTTGGATCAATTCGATTGTGCAACTTTACAATATATATAACAATTGGCATTCAATACATTGTGTGCTTTTTGACCTCTGAAGGAGTCAAGATCGGAGTTACACTCTGTTAACGTGTGTTCAATAACACGGGAGTGTGACCACGCAGATAGGGTCGAATCTTTGTTGCCCTATATTTTGGTGATCCCGACGTGATCAATAGGCAATCAACTTCAATTCAGCAACTGGAATTTCGTCAATCAAAATGGAAAAGAAATTCATCACTAATCGAGTCAATGGACAATACGTCAGCATTTCAGGAATCAAGCAACCAACCAAATTGCAGTCTTTGGCGGTATGTCAATTTATTAAGCAGTCAAGAAGGCCAGAACAAGGTAGATTTTTGACTCAAAATGAGGAATCTGGACCAGGACCCCCTACGATCAGACAGCACTAATTCAACTTCAACTCTTCAAGTTTAACGCCCGAGTTCACGCTCGTGTATTTTCATTTTCCAAGCATCAACGCCCAAATTCTTTGAATTTGTGTCTCATATCAACCTATATATTACAACTATATGTTTTGTGTGTCAACCGGATCAAGAGATATGGACTTCAGCAGATCAATCCGCCTCATTACAATTTAAAGTTACCAGGACAACTTCGTATTATTACTGGATTTTCAAATGTGTTTATCGACAAAGCAAGCTACGTAGAAAGAAAAAACATTGATATTATACGCAAGCCCATTTTTACACCAAGAAGCAGCATTTAGCGACCTATTGTTTGACGAACGTACGAACGAACATCTACTTTATTCTCTCAAGTCGATCATCATCTATTTCAGCATCATTGGAAACCAAGTCGAAATCGAATACTCGTGGCCCGCGTTAAGGGGTCCTTTTTACTTCAATCACATCACACGAAAACTGCATTCACCTCTAGCTCATCTAAGTCAATGTGAACCGAACACGAGTTTCCGTCGCAAAGGCGCTTTCACAATTGTTTGGAATGTTGGAGATACGAAAGTTCGCAGGGCCCGCGACTTTCCGAAATTCAGCGCTACCGAACTCTTGCTACATTACAATTCATCGGACAATCTTCCCAGATTGAAAAATCCGAGAGTTGGACAAGTTTTCAAAGCTTAGAGGAATGTTTTCAACGAACGAAATCTTAACGTCAACAATATTTTTCAAATCAACTATTACGCTCATTATTTTACAAAACAGAAAGAAGTCGATTGTCCAAACGCAATGGCTTAGTTCTGGGTGTTATCGAAGATTTCGTGAAAATCTGTAGATTTCACCGCAAAAGATCCTTCAACCGGAGGTATCTCAATCAAATTGGTTTTCCTGTGTCGTTGCATTAGTTGGTCATCAGCGACTTTGATGCAGAATTAAATACACCAATACATGGCAAATTTTACGACATATTATTCAATCAGATATCGTTATTAGCTAGTCTTACAAAATTTAAAAATTAGCAAACTAATTTTTTTCATTGTCGGGGGGAATTGTGTAGCAAGTACATAAGGATAGTTACTGTGTATTTTAATATTTTCACCACTTATTGTTAGTAGTGCATGTTATTTGCCTGAAACAAGGTCGTTGTCCCAATTTATTTCCTTTATGATATATTTCTCTCACTCAGTGTAGCTTGTCTTTGCCGTCCTTTGTTAGTTAGAAATTTGGTTTCATCACATATATATACTTGCTTTAAGGTTTCAGGTGTAATTCGTTATTTGGATCAATTCGATTGTGCAACTTTACAATATATATAACAATTGGCATTCAATACATTGTTTGCTTTTTGACCACTGAAGGAGTCAAGATCGGAGTTACACTCTGTTAACGTGTGTTCAATAACACGGGAGTGTGGACACGCAGATAGGGTCGAATCTTTGTTGCCCTATACTATAACAAAGTTCAGTAGAATGATTGACTGGTCTTGTTTATTGTAATTAAGGGCATTTATGTATACAATGATCGATGATCGCACTGATAGACTGTCCGTCATCAAATTTACCAAAATGGTTCACGCGTTTGGTGTGGACGAGGAGACTTCGTCGGATCTTCGTGACGTACTCGATAAGGATAAAGACGGTGAGTTACTGTTGAACTACATGTGATATTGTATTTCGGAGCACTGACTAATAGTTATTTATTTAAAAATAAATACTGTCTTGTATTCATCATACTGTTTTATTTTAATGAGCATTTGCAACATCGCGGTATTATAAAAAACAACGTCATATCTCACAAATCTAATACCAACAATGAAAATGGATCTGGATTGTGCTATCATAAGCATATAAATGGAAAAAGTATAGTGTCAATGAATGATAAAGAAACGACCCTGTTAAATAAATTCCTTTCAAAATAGTTCTCGAGCTTGTTTAACTTCGAACTGAACAGCGTGGTTCTTTGTATCTAATATATCATACTATCGTGATATTTCAATTAGATACTACTCCTTGATAAGTTTATTTATATGCCCTGATAAAGTTTTTCTGTATAGAAATGTAGAACGTCGCAAATTACATTGCTTTTCAAACATCGTATGTGCTCCATGTATCCTCAAAGTGTCGTTCATATTGAGTATGCGAAATTCCAAATGTGATAAATAAACTGAAGTGGCGTTACTGATTCCTAATTATTTTTCAAGTTTTTATTTCCTTCCATACTGAACATTCAGGCAGCATATTTTCATAAAATTACACGTTTTTATATCGTGCAGGTTTTATTACCGAAAAATAGATCGAAGCTATAACAGATGTCACCGATGAGATGTGGTTGGGATTTTTAAATGAGGCAGATGAATACAAAGAGGTAGAAGACTTCAGGAAAAGTAAAAAAGAAAAAGAGGAACTATAGAATTAAAACATTCAAAAACCTTGACCTTAGATTTTGTGAAAATTACCATGAATGTAAATTTTTTGCAATGATTTAATTGTGCTAATAGTTATGTTTGATCAATTGTAAATAATATTGTAATGAAGAGCGGTAACAATTTTAAAATATATAACTGAATTGAGAAATGTTGAATTTTTTATCTTTTAATTTTGTAATGGCATGGGTTTAGTTGAGCGTCACGACAAACACTTATTCATAGAAAAAACGTTAGGAAAACTTAATTTCGAAAAAGCAGTGAAAGAATTACACCTAGCCTGTGTAAATACGGGCGGGAGACAGTGCTTAATCAGCTCAACTCCTGCTACACGCGTTTGATTAACCACAAACATTCTCAATCATACTCATCGTTGTCTCAGTTATCGTCATCAAAAATGAAAGCCTACGCACTTTAGCAAATTCAGAAATATCATTCACGAGTAGAGTCACGCAAACGTGACATAATTATTCTGCTAGCATACCTAGAAGGTTGAATGCACAAAGGGCGCGCAGATGGCTAGTTTTTGTAAAAAGCATACATTACCTAAATTACATGATCCGTATTATCTTAGAAATCTTTGAATGCAGTAGGAAAAATATTTTATTATTTCGGTCAGCAGCGTGATTATTCCGTGTCTCTTGAATTAAGTATTTCCTCACAAGAAACTTATGTTAACTATAAGTTACCACCGAGTACGTCCTTATATGAATGACTTGGAATACACTCATGTATTGGCTAAGTTTGTTTTCGTGTTGTGGTTTTAGTAGCACATAGGTGTGCGGAATTGTACATACATTGTAGTGTCGGCACAATTTTAGATTGTAACACATGTCCTGGGAGTAATATATGCGTAATTGAATGCACTAAAGTTTTTGGCGGTTTTGCTTTTAAAAATAAGATTGAAATAGGTATTTAGAAAATTGATACTAATATTGAGCAAAATTAACTTGCTGTAAATATATCAACATTAGCACAGTTAAAAAGTTCTACAGTATCGAGATTTAATGTCCATGCAATTCGGCAAAGATTTATCAAATTTGAAAAAAAAATCGTTGTTATTTTTAATTCAATAGTCAATTTTATTTTATATGGTGACGTACTCGGTACGAACTTGGAGTAACTCATGCTGTTCAATGTTTGTGATAACCTCGCTTTATTTTTCCATGAAGTTTTCTTGAATATGATTGTTCTGAATTTTGCACTATACGACGTCGCATGAACTGTATCAAACCTGTTAGATTAATATTACTAAATTTTATATACTTTCCATGTATTTTTCTCTCAAGTTCTGGCCCAGGAAGAAATTATGCAATGAGACAATAAATCCTGAACAGGCCCCGAGTAGTGCTATGTAACATCTTGCGTAACGTGAGAAGAGAGTTTGAACAATAGATTCAGCGGTGTCTAGGATAAGTTATATCCGGACATCAGTCATATGCTGTCGATGTTAAGGCAAAATGCGGAAGGCAGTACGTGATGCTTGCAAGATGGGTAAATATTTAAGTGCATATTGTCCAGGCATTACGAACTTTGCTAACTTTATAGTTCTTAATACGGTATAGAATGGAACTTTACAATACGTATCATGTCGCTGCACTCCTGCATTTCCTAAAGTCTTGGATAGAAAGGCTATAGGATAGCTGTAAAAATAGGGTTCGAAAATGTAAGATTTAAGTATTGAGATCAGAAAGAATGTTAAAGCATTAAAGATAATTTAATAGAAAGTACTCTCACTCATGGCAATCAGTAGAATGAATCGTTATTTCTGACAAAGTTAACAAATTAGGTGAAATAGATGAGATATAAGTACTTATAAATTATATTGTTTATAAAATATGTTTATGAAAAAAATACAAACACTTATTTTAAATTTAGATTTATTTAAGTGAACCTTAAAAATATCAGAAAATAGTATCATATCACCATGAGCATAGGATTTATTACATTAGTATGGTCTGTTTCTTTGTCGTGCATTGTAGAATGTGGTGACCCTATGGGACATCTTCAACCCCTCGGCTCCCATATGCCTCCGATTAAAATAGATGTGATCGATTCTCCACCCAGTCCACAAGAATTTTTTGATAAATACATTAAAGTTAATAAACCGGTCGTCATCAAAGGAGGTGCAAAAGTTTTTAGCAATTTCAAAACTTGGAGTGATGATGTTTACTTGAGGTAAGATGTTTATTTTACTAAGAGAAAATGCTATTGTCATATTATTATTATTGACCTACCCTTAATAAATATGAATTCGCGTATATTTGTGTGCACGCTGGGATCCCGAACGGCTGTGGTTTTAATTCACGGCTTTGAAAGAAATTCTCGAAATTAGAATCGAAAATTATGCTTTTCAATTTCAAATGCCTTTTTTATATTTCATTTGCAATATTGTTGTCATAAAATCACATAAAAAAATTTTTTTTCTCATGTTCTATCATAGATTTTGCTCATTTAAAATATTCCAATCGTTTGAATTATTTTGTTGCAACATTAATAGTCAACTTTACACAAAGTTGCTTTGGAGTTTTATCATTAGATTCAAAGCAACAGTTGCCGAGCGCGCTGATTGGTAGTAATTGATAGTTTAAAACCAAATGATAGCAAATTTGGGCAACATCATCGACTGCATACGGAGGCATACGGGGCTCAAAAGATCATCACAGTGGTGCAGGAAAATGTAACAATTTAATCATATGAGCATTATATACCATAAAGTGTTATTATTTTATTTCAATTATAACTTAATTTGTTGTAACAATTTCTACACCACAGTGAAAAGTACGGTAAATGGATAGCTCCAACAGAACTCGGAAAATTTGAGGCTCAAATATACGGAAAAATATTTGAAATGAAATTTGCACGTTTCATAAGAAGCTATAAAAAGCGAGAACTCTGTATAATTCGGGACATTCTGCCCGAGAACCCAATGAGAGGTAATTATTTACTACTTTCTGTTATAAATTTTGTACTCATAAACTAAGTAAACTACCATCCGGTCACCTACAAGTATTTGTCATATATTCCACTAAAATATAATACGTACTCTTCTTAGACGAACTATCTTTTATAAAATCTATGTCGTGTGGTGGATACCAAGAACGGATTTCGAAGGTGATATTCCTATTTTCATCTGGTTCTGCCCAATCAGCACTACATTGGGATTTGCAAGAAAATATGCATTGTTTGCTTGATGGTACGAAGAATTGGACAATTATTCACAGGGTAAATAATATTGTTCCTTGTATAATAAGTGAGAGAGGTATTATAAATTTTGAGCTTATTGAATTACGTATTTGCCACCAAAACTAATTTATTGTTTGACAAATTGACTGGATAATCATATTCGTAGAGGCAGCAGTCTAGTAACAGCTATTGATACTAACAGACGCATTTTTCATGCAACTCCTGTCCTCCATGAATGCGATGGCTTCAGTGTAGTTTTCAGCGATTTAAATTGTTTATTGCCTTTTGTATTGCATTTCAAACGACGAATTCAGTAAGAAATTTGCAGCTGGCCATTTCCCGGACTACTTCACGACTAGTTTGATCTTCTCCGCGGGCCACACTATTTTTCCAGGTGGGTCGCATTTGGTCGCAAATTCAAAATTTTAAATCATTCCTAACCTCAGATGTGTATCAACTAATTTGTTATTTCAAACGTGGTGGGGTGTCTCCCTCAAATCTCACATTTTTGCATTAGTGTCGGGGGATTCGTACGAAAGATACGCAACTTAGACAAGTGCCTGAGCCAGTGTCAGGCATATATACTTATACACCAATTCGTTGGCTATTGTAGAGTTCGAATTCGAATAAGTGTATGGAATTTACCTTAACAGAAAGATCGACACATACTCCCAAAGTCGGATCATTCGCCAGTGTATTCTGGAATTGATCCAAGAAGTGTTGACATGTACAAATATCCCGTAATGCAAGATATGCCTTGGTATCAAGCTCTCATTGAAGCAGGAGATTGTTTGTTTGTTCCGAATAAGTAAGAAAAGTTTGTAATATATTAATTTTAATATACAAAATATCTATACTGTGCGCATATAACTAAATATATCTTATTAATTAGCGCACCGCACTACGTGAAATCAGGAGATTCGAGGAATATGGCCTTTTCTATCTGGTTCGATGCCCCGAGATCTCTCAATCTAACAGACTGTCCGGAAAATGAAGCAGATTTACCTGACTCAGTGCCAATTGGCCAAAGCGTAATATCAGACTTGGAAAGTGTAAAGTATGCCATAATACGATATTTCAATAAAACATTATTATTATGATTATAAAGTAGTTGCTTATATGCAATATTATAATGCAATTTTGTGGAACCTCATTAACCTAACTACTGTCTGGCGAAAGTCACGGATCACTTTGAGAAGCCTCATTAGACGGAACCATACGCCTAATGAAAGCATTGTTTGTTCGACGGCAATGATAGTATAAGCCCGCTCCTCAGTGAATATGATAAAGTAACTGCGTAGCAAAATTGGTTTATCCCCGATATATAACAGCATCTTTTGAGACAAACTTTATGATACATATTAGGAAATTTTCAGAAAATTTACTACGTTTTTCCGCATTTACCAAAATGTTCGTTTTGTATTGAAATTGCAATATATTCGGAAGTATTAAAAGGAAATTGTAATGAGAGAAAAAGATAATTCATTGGAAGTTATTTACACTTTTAAACTCTTTTGTCTTTATTCTTACCGTATTTGAATAATTGCAATAATTTGTTGATCAGTCAGAAGAAGAAATTTATCTTCTAGAAACTTAAATTCGGGCTGATTTCATGGCATAAGCACCAAACCTTATATCTTATAACAAAGTTCAGTGAAATAATTGACTGGTCTTCTTCATTGTAATTAAGGGCATTTTTGTATACAATGATTGATGATCGTACTGATAGACTGTCCGTCATCAAGTTTACCAAAATGGTCCACGCGTTTGGTGCAGACGAGGAGACTTCGTCGGATCTTCGTGACGTACTCGATAAGGATAAAGACGGTGAGTTAATGTTACCTAAATGTGATATCGTATTTCGAGGCACTGACTAATAGTTATTTATTTAAAAATGAATACTGTCTTGTATTCATCATACTGTTTTATTTTTATGAGCATTCGGAACATCGCGGCATTATAAAAAATAACGTCACATCTCACAAATCTAATACCAACCATGTATAGGGTTCATGCTGTTGTTCCCTAAACTCCGCGTGCCGAGACTGTGCTTCCTTATTCCTGTCCACTTTCAAGTCTCTAGTAAAATGTGCAAGTTTTTTGTTGTATGTTGTATTAAAATAGCGACGTTATAAAAGCATAAAATAGATATCAAACAGTAAAATAACTTAACTCAAAAATGAGGCAGTAGTAGGTGCGTGTCGCGAGAGATCCCCGAGTTGAGTGCGGTAAATTTCTTATTCAAAACAGAAGCCAAAACGTGGCAGCGCGACACAGGTCATGTGACCCGAGCCTAGATGTCGCTATACATGAAAATTGATCTGGATTGTGCTATTATATGCATATGAATGGAAAAAGTATAGTGTCAATGAATGAAAAGAAACGGCCTTGTTAATTAAATGCTTTCAAAATAGTTTTCGAGCTTGTTTAACTTTGAACTGAACTGCGTGGTTCTTTGTATCTAATATATCATACTATCGTGTTATGTCAATTAGATATTACTCCTTGATAAGTTTCCTTATATGCCCTGATAAAGTTTTACTGTATAGAACTGTAGAAAGTCGCGAAATACATTGTTTTTCAAACATCGTCTGTGCTCCATATATCCTCAAAGTGTCGTGCATATTGAGTATGCGAGATTCCAAATGTGATAAACAAACTGCAGTGGCGTTGCTGATTCCTAATTTTTTTAAGTTTTTATTCTCTTTCATACTGAACATTCAGGCAGCATATTTTCATAAAATTACACGTCTTAATATTGTGCAGGTTTTATTACCGAAGAAGAGATCGAAGCTATAACAGATGTCACCGATGAGATGTGGTCGGGGCTTTTAGATGAAACAGATGAATACAAAGAGGTAGAAGACTTCAGGAAAAGTAAAAAAGAAAAAGATGAACTATAGAACTAAAACATTCAAAAAACTTGACCTTAGATTTTGTGAAAATTACCATGAATGTAAATTTTTTGCAATGATTTAATTGTGCTAATAGTTGTTTGATCAATTGTAAATAACACTATGATGAAGTTCGGTAACAATTTTGAAATATATAACTGAATTGAAAAATGTTGAATTTTTTTATCTTTCAATTTTATAATGGTATGGGTTTAGTTGAGCGTCACGACAAGCACTTATCCATAGAAAAAACATTAAGAAACCTCAATTTAAAAAAAGCAGTGAATAAATTACACCTAGCCTGTGTAAATACGGGCGGGAGACAGTGCTTAATCAGTTCAACTCCTGCTACACATTTTCATTATTAGTCATTCTCATCATTGTCTCAGTTATTGTCATCAAAAATGAAAGCTCACGCACTTTAGCAAATGCAAAAATATCATTCTCGAGTAGAGTCACGCAAACGTGGCCTAATTATTCTGCTAGCATACCTAGAAGGTTGAATGCACAAGGGGCGCGCAAATGGCTATATTTTGTAAAAAGCATACATTACCTAAATTACATGATCCGTATTATCTTAAAAATCTTCGAATGCAGTAGGGAAATATTTTTTTGTTTCGGTCAGCTGCGTGATTATTCCGTGTCTCTTGAATTAAGTATTTCCTCACAAGAAACTTATGTTAACTATAAGTTCTCACCGAGTACGTCCTTATAAGAATGACTTGGAATACACTCATGTATTAGCTAAGTTTGTTTTCGTGTTGTGGTTTTAGTAGCACATAGGTGTGCGGAATTGTACATACATTGTAGTGTCGGCACAATTTTAGATTGTAACACATGTCCTGGGAGTAATATATGCGTAATTGAATGCACTAAAGTTTTTTGCGGTTTTGCTTGTAAAAATAAGATTGAAATAGGTATTTAGAAAATTGATACTAATATTGAGCAAAATTAACTTGCTGTAAATATATCAACATTAGCACAGCTAAAAATTCTACAGTATCGAGATTTAATGTCCATGCAATTCGGCAAAGATTTATCAAATTTGAAAAAAAAATTCGTTGTTATTTTTAATTCAATAGTCAATTTTATTTTATATGGTGACGTACTCGGTACGAACTTGGAGTAACTCATGCTGTTCAATGTTTGTGATAACCTCGCTTTATTTTTCCATGAAGTTTTCTTGAATATGATTGTTCTGAATTTTGCACTATACGACGTCTCATGAACTGTATCAAACCTGTTAGATTAATATTACTAAATTTTATATACTTTCCATGTATTTTTCTCTTAAGTTTTGGCCCAGGAAGAAATTATGCAATGAGACAATAAATCCTGAACAGGCCCCGAGTAGTGCTATGTAACATCTTGCGTAACGTGAGAAGAGAGTTTAAACAATAGATTCAGCGGTGGCTAGGATAAGTTATATCCGGACATCAGTCATATGCTGTCGATGTTAAGGCAAAATGCGGAAGGCAGTTCGTGATGCGTGCAAGATGGGTAAATATTTAAGTGCATATTGTCCAGGCATTACGAACTTTGCTAACTTTATAATTCTTAATACGGTATAGAATAGAACTTAACAATACGTATCATGTCGCTGTGCCCCAGCAATTTCTGAAGACTAGGATAGTAAGGCTATAAGATAGCTGTAAAAATATGGTTTGAAAATGCACGATTCAAGTATTGAGATTAGAAGGAATGTTCAAGCAATGAAGATAATTTAATAGAAACTCTCACTCATGGCAATCAGTAGAATGAATCGTTATTTCTAACAAAGGTAACAAATTAGGTGAAATAGATGAGATATAAGTACTTATAAATTATATTTTTTATAAAATATGTTTATGAGAAAAATAAAAACACCTATTTTAAATTTAGATTTATTTAAGTGAACCTTAAAAATATCAGAAAATAGTAGCATATCACCATGAGCATAGAATTTGTTACATTAGTATGGTTTGTTTCTCTGTCGTGCATTGTAAAATGTGGTGACCCTATGGGACATCTTCAATCCCTTGGCTCCCATATGCCTCCGATTAAAATAGATGTGATCCATACTCCACCCAGTCCACAAGAATTTTTTGATAAATACATTAAAGTTAATAAACCGGTCGTCATCAAAGGAGCTGCAAAAGTTTTAAGCAATTTCAAAACTTGGAGAGATGATGATTACTTGAGGTAAGATGTTTATTTTACTAAGAGAAAATGCTATTGTCATATTATTATTATTGACCTACCCTTAATAATTATTAATTCGCATATTTCTGTGTGCAAGCTTGGATCCCGAACGGCTGTCGTTACAATTCACGGCTTGGGGAGAAATTCTTGAAATTAGAATCGAAAATTATGCTTTTCAATTTCAAATGCCTTTTTTACTTTTCATTTGCAATATTGTCGTCATAAAATCACAAAAAAAAAGTTTGTCTTATGTTATATCATACATTTTGCTCATTTAAAATGTTCAAATCATTTGAAATAATGTGTTGCAAAATTAATAGTCAACTTTGCACGAAGCTGCTTCGGAGTTTAATCATTAGATTTTAAGCAAATGTTGCAGAACGCGCTGATTGGTAGTGGTTTATATTTTAAAACCAAGTGGTCGCAAATTTGGCCGACATCATCGACTACATACGGAGGCATACGGAGCTTAAAAGATTATCACAGTGGTGCAGGAAAATTTAAATAAAATAATCATATGAGCATTATATAACATAAGGAATTATTATTTCATTTTAATTATAACTTAATTTGTTTTAAAAATTTCTACACCACAGTGAAAAGTACGGTAAATGGATAGCTCCAACAGACCTCGGAAAATTTGAGGCTCAAATATACGGAAAAATATTTGAAATGAAATTTGCACGTTTTCTAAGAAGCTATAAAAAGCGAGAACTCTGTATAATTCGGGACATTCTGCCAGAGAACCCAATGAGAGGTAATTATTTACTACTTTCTGTTATAAATTTTGTACTCGTAAACTAAGTAAACTACCATCCGGTCACCTACAAGTATTTGTCATATATTCCACTAAAATATAATACGTACTCTTTTTAGACGAACTATCTTTTATAAAATCTATGTCGTGCGGTGGATACCAAGAACGGATTTCGAAGGTGATATTCCTATTTTCATCTGGTTCTGCTCAATCAGCACTACATTGGGATATGCAAGAAAATATGCATTGTTTGCTTGATGGTACGAAGAATTGGACAATTATTCACAGGGTAAATAATATTGTTCCTTGTATAATAAGTGAGAGAGGTATTATAAATTTTGAGCTTATTGAATTACGTATTTGCCACCAAAACTAATTTATTGTTTGACAAATTGACTGGATAATCATATTCGTAGAGGCAGCAGTCTAGTAACAGCTATTGATACTAACAGACGCATTTTCATGCAACTCCTGTCCTCCATGAATGCGATGGCTTCAGTGTAGTTTTCAGCGATTTAAATTGTTTATTGCCTTTTGTATTGCATTTCAAACGACGAATTCAGTAAGAAATTTGCAGCTGGCTTTTTCCCCGACTACTTCACGACTAGTTTAATCTTCTCCGCGGGCCACTCTATTTGTCCTGGTGGGTCGCATTTGCTCGCAAATTCAAAATTTTACATCATTCCTAACCTCAGATGTGTATTAACTAATTTGTTATTTCAAACGTGGCGGGCTGTCTCCCTCAAATCTCACATTTTTGCATAAGTGTCGGGGGATTCGTACGAAAGATACGCAACTTAGACAAGTGCCTGAGCCAGTGTCATGCATATATACTTATACACCAATTCGTTGGCTATTGTAGAGTTCGAATTCGAATAAGTGTATGGAAATTACCTTAACAGAAAGATCGACACATACTCCCGAAGTCGGATCATTCGCCAGTGTATTCTGGAATTGATCCAAGAAGTGTTGACATGTACAAATATCCCGTAATGCAAGATATGCCTTGGTATCAAGCTCTCATTGAAGCAGGAGATTGTTTGTTTGTTCCGAATAAGTAAGAAAAGTTTGTCATATATTAATTTTAATATACAAAATATCTATACTGTGCGCATATAACTGAATATATCTTTTTAATAAGCGCACCGCACTACGTGAAATCGGGAGATTCGAGGAATATGGCCTTTTCTATCTGGTTCGATGCCCCGAGATCGCTCAATCTAACAGACTGTCCGGAAAATGAAGCAGATTTACCTGACTCAGTGCCAATTGGCCGAGGCGTAATATCAGACTTGGAAAGTGTAAAGTATGCCATAATACGATATTTCAATAAAACATTATTATTCTGATTATAAAGTAGTTGCTTATATGCAATATTATAATGCAATTTTGTGGAACCTCATTACTACTGTCTGGCGAAAGTCACGGATCACTCTGAGAAGGCTTTTTTGGACGGAACCATACGCTTAATGAAAGCATTGTTTGTTCGACGGCAATGAAAGTAAGCACGCTCCTCAGTGAGTATGTTAAGTATCCGCGTAGCGAAAGTGGTTGATCCCCGATACATAACAGCATCTTTTGAAGCAAACTTTATGTTACATATTAGGAAATGTTCAGAAAATTTACTAGTTTTTTCCGCATTTACCAAAATGTTCGTTTTGTATTGAAATTGCAAATTATTAGGAAATATTAAAAAGGGAATTGTAATAGAAGAAAAATATAATTCATTGGAATTTATTTACACTTTTAAACTCTTTTGTCTTTACGTTTACCGTATTCGAATAATCGCAATAATTTTTGATCAGTCAGAAGAAGAAATTTACCTTCTAGAAACCCAAATTCGGGCTGATTTCATGGCATTAGCACCAAACATTATATCTTATAAAAAAGTTCAGTAAAATAATTGACTGGTCTTGTTTATTGTAATTAAGGGCATTTATGTATACAATGATTGATGATCGCACTGATAGACTGTCCGTCATCAAATTTACCAAAATGGTTCACGCGTTTGGTGTGGACGAGGAGACTTCGTCGGATCTTCGTGACGTACTCGATAAGGATAAAGACGGTGAGTTAGTGTTGAACTACATGTGATATTGTATTTCAGAGCACTGACTAATAGTTATTTATTTAAAAATAAATACTGTCTTGTATTCATCATACTGTTTTATTTTAATGAGCATTCGCAACATCGCGGTATTGTAAAAAACAACGGCACATCTCACAAATCTAATACCAACGATGAAAATGGAACTGGATTGTGCTATCATAAGCATATAAATGGAAAAAGTATAGTGTCAATGAATGATAAAGAAACGACCCTGTTAATTAAATTCCTTTCAAAATAGTTTTCGAGCTTGTTTAACTTTGAACTGAACAGCGTGGTTCTTTGTATCTAATATATCATACTATCGTGTTATTTCAATTAGATACTACTCCTTGATAAGTTTTTTTATATGCCCTGATAAAGTTTTTCTGTATAGAAATGTAGAACGTCGCGAATTACATTGCTTTACAAACATCGTATGTGCTCCATATATCCTCAAAATATCATTCTCGAGTAGAGTCACGCAAACGTGACTTAATTATTCTGCTAGCATACCTAGAAGGTTGAATGCACAAAGGGCGCGCAGATGGCTAGTTTTTGTAAAAAGCATACATTACCTTAATTACATGATCCGTATTATCTTACAAATCTTCAAATGCAGTAGGAAAAATATTTTTTCAGGTTCAGTCAGTAGCGTGATTATTCCGTGTCTCTTGAATTAAGTATTTCCAAACAAGAAGCTTATGTTAACTATAAGTTCCCACCGAGTACGTCCTTATATGAATGACTTGGAATACACTCATGTATTGGCTAAGTTTGTTTTCGTGTTGTGGTTTTAGTAGCACATAGGTGTGCGGAAGTGTACATACATTGTAGTGTCGGCACAATTTTAGATTGTAAGACATGTCCTGGGAGTAATATATGCGTAATTGAATGCACTAAAGTTTTTGGCGGTTTTGCTTTTAAAAATAAGATTGAAACAGGTATTTAGAAAATTGATACTAATATTGAGCAAAATTAACTTGCTGTGAATATATCAACATTAGCACAGTTAAAAAGTTCTACAGTATCGAGATTTAATGTCCATGCAATTCGGCAAAGATTTATCAAATTTGAAAAAAAAAATCGTTGTTATTTTTAATTCAATAGTCAATTTTATTTTATATGGTGACGTACTCGATACGAACTTGGAGTAACTCATGATGTTCAATGTTTGTGATAACCTCGCTTTATTTTTCCATGAAGTTTTCTTGAATATGATTGTTCTGAATTTTGCACTATACGACGTCTCATGAACTGTATCAAACCTGTTAGATTAATATTACTAAATTTTATATACTTTCCATGTATTTTTCTCTCAAGTTCTGGCCCAGGAAGAAATTATGCAATGAGACAATAAATCCTCAACAGGCCCCGAGTAGTGCTATGTAACATCTTGCGTAACGTGAGAAGAGAGTTTAAACAATAAATCCAGCGGTGTCTAGGATAAGTTATATCCGGACATCAGTCATCTCCTGTCAATGTTGAAGCAAAAAGCGGAAGGCAGTTCGTGATGCGTGCAAGATGGGTAATATTTAAGTGCACATTGACCAGGCATTACGAACCTTGCTAACTTTATAAAAATGCGGTATAGAATAGAACTTCGCGATAACTATCATGTCGCTGCACTCCTGCATTTCTTTAAGACTTGGATCGAAAAGCTATAGGATATCTGTAAAAATAGGGTTTGAAAATGTAAGATTTAAGTATTGAGATTAGAAAGAATGTTTAAGCATTAAAGATAATTTAATAGAAAGTACTCTCACTTATGGCAATCAGTAGAATAAATCGTTATTTCTGACAAAGTTAACAAATTAGGTTAAATAGATGAGATATAAGTACTTATAAATTATATTTATTATAAAATATGTTTATGAAAAAAATACAAACACTTGTTTTAAATTTAGATGTATTTAAGTGAATCTTAAAAATATCATAAAATAGTATCATATCACCATGAAAATAGAATTTGTTACATTAGTATGGTTTGTTTCTCTGTCGTGCATTGTAGAATGTGGTGACCCTATGGGACATCTTCAACCCCTCGGCTCCCATATGCCTCCGATTAAAATAGATGTGATCGATTCTCCACCCAGTCCACAAGACTTTTTTGATAAATACATTAAAGTTAATAAACCGGTCGTCATCAAAGGAGCTGCAAAAGTTTTTAGCAATTATAAAACTTGGAGAGATGATGATTACTTGAGGTAAGATGTTTATTTTACTAGAAAAAAATGCTGTTGTCATATTATTATTATTGACCTACCCTTAATATTTATGAATTCGCATATTTTTGTGTGCACGCTTGGATCCCGAACGGCTGTGGTTTTAGTTCACGGCTTTGGAAGAAATTCTCCAAATTAGAATCGAAAATTATGCTTTTCAATTTCAAATGTTTTTTTACTTTTCATTTGCAATATCGTCGTCATAAAATCACAAAAAAAAAAGTTTTTCTCATGTTCTATCATAGATTTGGCTCATTTAAAATGTTGCAATCATTTGAAATATTTTGTTGCAACATTAATAGTAAAATTTGCACAAAGCTGCTTTGAAGTTTTATCATTAGATTTGAAGCAACCGCTGTAGAGCGCGCTGATTGGTAGTAATTAATAGTTTAAAACCAAATGATAGCAAATTTGGGCAACATCATGGACTACATACGGAGGCATACGGGGCTCAAAAGATTATCACAGTGGTGCAGGAAAATGTAAAAGTTTAATCATATGAGCATTATATAACACGAAGAGTTATTATTTTATTTCAATTATAACTTAATTTGTTTTAACAATTTCTACACCACAGTGAAAAGTACGGTAAATGGATAGCTCTAACAGAACTCGGAAAATTTGAGGCTCAAATATACGGAAAAATTTTTGAAATGAAATTTGCACGTTTTCTAAGAAGCTATAAAAAGCTAGAACTCTGTATAATTCGGGACATTCTGCCAGAGAACCCAATGAGAGGTAATTATTTACTACTTTCTGTTATAAATTTTGTACTCATAAACTAAGTAAACTACTATCCGGTCACCTACAAATATTTGTCATACATTCCACTAAAACGTACTCTTCTTAGACGAACTATCTTTTATAAAATCTATGTCGTGTGGTGGATACCAAGAACGGATTTTGAAAGTGATATTCCTATTTTCTTCTGGTTCTGCTCAATCAGCACTACATTGGGATTTGCAAGAAAATATGCATTGTTTGCTTGATGGTACGAAGAATTGGACAATTATTCACCGGGTAAATAATATTGTTCCTTGTATAAAAGGTGAGACAAATATCAACTAATTTGTTATTTCAAACGTGGCGGGCTGTCTCCCTCAAATCTCACAGTTTTGCATTAGTGTCGGGGGATTCGTACGAAAGATACGCAACTTAGACAAGTGCCTGAGCCAGTGTCATGCATATATACTTATACACCAATTCGTTGGCTATTGTAGAGTTCGAATTCGAATAAGTGTATGGAATTTTCCTTAACAGAAAGATCGACACATACTCCCGAAGTCGGATCATTCGTCAGTATATTCTGGAATTGATCCAAGAAGTGTTGACATGTACAAATATCCCGTAATGCAAGATATGCCTTGGTATCAAGCTCTCATTGAAGCAGGAGATTGTTTGTTTGTTCCGAATAGGTAAGAAAAGCTTGTCATATATTAATTTTGATATAAAAATATCTATACTTTGTGCATATAACTAAATATATTTTTTCAATTAGCGCGCCGCACTACGTGAAATCAGGAGATTCGAGGAATATGGCCTTTTCTATCTGGTTCGATGCCCCGAGATCGCTCAATCTAACAGACTGTCCGGAAAATGAAGCAGATTTACCTGAAACGGCGCCAATTGGCCATAGCGTAATATCAACCCTGGAAAGTGTAAAGTATGTCATACTCATAGTACTATATTATCATGAAACTTTATTATTATTATGAAGTAGTTGATTGCTTGAATTTCACAATACAAATTTGTGGAAACTTATTAATCAAACTACTAACTGGCGAATTACTACTGACACTACTGGATCACTTTAAGAAGCAATTATATACGAAACCACGCGCTTGATATTTAATTACAGCACTGTTTGTTCGTCGACAAATTTATCGAATTGAAAACACGTTTTCAGTTAATATGGTAAAGTATTTGAGTAGCAAAAGTGGTCATTCTCAGATGGGCCCGATATAGACCAAAATCTTTTTAACATATGCTACTTATTCTCGAATTTTTCACACTGTTTGTTTGGTATTAAAAATGCAATTTCATAGATAATATTGAAAATACCCAACCTCTTTTTTCTAAAAATTTGCCAATTCGGCTTTCATGACGTTATTATCTTTTTACTCAGAGCAAAATATTTACTCTCCAAGACGATACGAATAAGCAAGTTAAAATAATATTTGAACACATATATATATGATCGAGAAAAAGGATAGAAATTCATCAAAAGTTATTCACATCTTCAAGTCAATTTCTTTTATTACACCTATTCCGTTTTTACTGTATTTCAATAATTGCTAATTCTTTGGGTTTTTATTTGTTTTAATTTGTAGCCAGAAAAATGAATTTATCTTTTAAAAACCTAAAATGCGGCTGATTAAATAACATTAACACCTACCAATATATACTATAACAAATCCAGTGAAATAATGACCAGTTTTGTTTATTGTAATTCAGGGCCTTTTTGTATACAATGATAGATGATCGAAGTGATAGACTGTCCGTCTTCAAGTTCAACAAAATGGTTCAGGCATTTGGCGCAGACGAGATGACTTCGTCGGAACTTCGTGACGTACTCGACTCGGATAAAGACGGTGAGTTAGGCTTGAACTACATGTGGTATTGTATTACAGAGCACTGACTAGTAGTTATTCATTCGAAAATACTGTATTGCATTCATCATATTTTTCATTTTTCATAAAGATAGGCCTGGATTGTGTTATTGTAAGCATTTCAATCAAAAAACTATGTTGTCAATGAATGATAAACAAATGACCCTGTTATTTAAATTGCTCTTTGAATAGTCCTCGAGCTTGTTTGAACTTGCGTGCTTACTTGTACGTAGTATATCCTTAAAGTATTGTGCATATTGAGTAAGCGATATTCTGAATGCGAATAAAACCAAACTGGCATTAATGATTCCTTATGAAGACAAAAGTGCAATGGTTTCATAAGTTTTGTTTCTTCTTGACTGAAACATTTAGGCAGCATATGTTCATAAACTTACAGGTATTTATATTCATGCAGGTTTCATTACCGCAGAAGAGATCGAAGCTTTAACGGATGTCACAGATGAGATGTGGCCGGTATTTTTATTTGACACAGATGAATACAAAGAGGTAGAAAACTTCAGTAAAAGTAAACAAGAAAAAGAGGAACTATAAAACTAAAACATTCAAAAAATTTGAAATAGGAATTTGTGAAAAATACCATGAATGTAAATTTATTTGCAATGATATTATTGTGCAACTATTTATGTTTTTTCAATTGTAAATAATATTGGGATGAAGTGCGTAACAATTTTGAAATAAAGAATTGAATAAAGAAAGTTTTAGATGAGCGTCACCACAAGCACTCATCCATAGATAGCCTATATCATAATAAAACCTCAAGTTGCTATAATCAGTGAATGAATGGCTCCAAATATGTGTAAATGTTTGACGGTGACGGTAGGTCTACTCTTGCTATTATACAGTTACACATGCAAGCGCTTTATTAACTACGGTTGCCTGCAAATTTCGTACACATTTTCATTCATTCTTATCATTGTCTTGTCAAAAATATCATTCTTGAGTAGGGTGAGACAAATGGGGCTTCGTTGTTCTCTTAGCATACCTAGTAAATTGCATGCTCATGAGGCGCAGATAGCTAGTTTTTGTAGGAAGCTAACCTGACATAAGTTACGTGATCCATATTATGTGTACAACTCTTTAGAAGAATTAGGAGAACAATTAGACAGCGGTGCAATAGTGGGATTATTCCGGATCTCTTGAATAAAGTATTTCCTCGCAAGAAGTTCATGTTAATTCTCAGTTCCCACCGAGACCGTCTTCATAGTAAATATCTGCCATACACGTATGCAGTATGTTTTTGTGTTGTGTTTTTGGTAGCACATTGGTGTGGGGAAATGCACATACATTACACATGTTCTGGGAGTAGAACAGAGTCGTCCAACCTTTGTGGCCGAAGGGCCACATGTAGTTTACTGTTAATTGAGAGGGCCACTTAACATGTAGTTATGTTCTAGTTTTGCTACACTGACTTCAGGTTATTGAAAAAACCAACTGGGGCGTCACCGGTTATTCCCGAAGGTTTCGCCAAAAACCGGCCAAGACGCTTGACCATTTTCATCGCAGCTCCCAACCAATCAATGCCTCTAGTCGTACCCTTAATAGGGACAATGGCTGCGAGCTCTGCGAGCCAGGAGTACAATGAAAATTTACCCGCTTTTGCAATTAACGTTTCTGCTATAGAGTTCCCAAGCTCTTCAACACGACGAGTTATGATCTGTCTTGACATGCTATTTTTGCAAACACCTCTTTTATTTCCGGACATAAAACATTGGCAACCCGAACATTACATATTATACGTTCCTTGACGAATTCAATCTCAGAACGGCTTGGATTGTTTTGCGATAACATCATATAGAGTAGTAAAAGACCAAGAGTGTAAATTACTATGGCACTTTTATGTACCCATATTTTCTCCCAATTGGTTTCGATTAAAAATGGCTTGTTTGAAAGGGCTGGCAGAGGGCTTTTCAGGAAAAAAACAAATCGTTTGTATCACATCTTTGTATACTACATCACTCGAAAAATAGTTTACTCAATTTTTATTTATTCAATTCTGAAAAATATAGCGCGGTCCACTCGAAATGCTTCCGCGGGCTACATATGGCCAGCGGGCCACGGGTTTGACGACCCTCGAGTAGAATATGCGCAATCAAATACACTGAAGTTTTAGACTTCGGCAGCGAAGGTTCAGGTTTTAAAAAAGAATTCGTTGTTATTTCAGACTCATGCTGTCCAATGTTTGTACCAACTTCGCTTCGCGGGTGAATTACTTCTGGACTAAATTAAAATTTTCCCATCATATAGTACTTCTTTCCAAATGATTGAAATTGTCATGAAATGCTATGCACCAAATTTATAAAACTAGAATTCGGTTGGAAACCGAAGACTTATCGATCGGAGGTTAGGGGATCCCCCAAAACAGTGATCTTACTCCATAGTGACACAGTGTGTCCCATCACTAATTAATTAATAACTCGCTAATTATACGACATAATCCATCCACAATCGATAGGCTCCTGTTCCGAACTATGATGAATGCACATGCAAAATTTGGAGCAGATTCAACCTCGCTTTCATGAGATATTGCGTGTATCTAACAGACAAACAAACAACAAACAAACAAACAAACGAGAATATCGGTCGGAGACCGAAGACTTATCGATCTTAGATCGGTAATTAGTTAATAACTCGCTAATTATACGACATAATTAACCCAAACATACAGACAGACAAATAGACAAACAGACAAATACCTATCAACATACTTACCGATCTTAAGATCGATAAGTAACAAACAAACAAACAAACAAACAAAAAAACAATCAGACAAATACCTATTAACATACTTACTGATCTTTTATTTATATAGTACTCAAGTATGCATGGAAAACTGTTGTAATCATAGTAAACATGGGCAAGAATTAATTTTCCCATACAGTTTTCTAAATTTTATCCAATGCGACGTCCCATGAAACGTAACAATATTGATAGTTTAATAATATGATCATGTATCATCAGGTTTATGAGGAAAGTGTATAATGAATCCATAAAACGTGAGCGACGTCGGATGTTATGTAAAATCTTGTGTAACGTAGGATAGCAGTTTGAACAATAGATTGAAGAGTTTCTAGGACATCCTGCCATTGTTGAAGAAACGCGTGAAAAGGATTTCGTGCGGTGTGCAAAATGGATAAAATTTAACTACATATTGGTAAGACATTGCGACATTGGTACACCTAATTTAATTTAAAGTTTTTTTTACGAAACTACAACATGTATCAAATATGTATGAGGCTAGATATTGTAACAATCAACTCAATGAGAGGTAAGCTCAAAAACATACGTTCACTCACGCAATGAACTGTTATGCCTGATGTATCTTTGGCGGCAGTAAACTATCTACCGGTATATACTTTATTGTTGCAAGTTTCCCATGCTTATTTTATGGTGAGGTTACGTGCACATTCATAATTTATAATCTACCTGCGACCGCACAAAGTTCAATTGTGTTCAATTCAAGATATGACCTATAGATTGATGTAGTGAAGTATCAAAATTGATTATTCATGATTCCCAGTTATATATGTTTTGTTTCCACCAGATGAACTGTCTCTTATGTATTTCAAGATCTGGTCATCGGCACTGCATTAGGATCATGAGGAAAATATGCTTTGTATGCTTGGCGATGCACAGAATTGGACAATCTTTCACTGGCGACGTGTGTCTACTATCTGTTGCTATAATATATATATATATATATATATATAGAACAATGGTTAAAAAAAATTCAATAAATAAGGTATGTCGGTCGACCTGGTATAAAATGCGAGACATGATTTACGAAATGAAATAATACACATTATTACATGAGCCCACCATAACGCCGCCTTACAAATCTTCCATGGCGTAGGTGAGAAATTTAAAATAAAACAATCGGTAATTAATTCGAAAGCAATTTTAGTTTGCAATTTCAAATTAAATACCCTGTGATTTGAATTCCCATGGACAAGCCAGGCAAATCCGTCATATAAAATAAAGACCCGAAGTTATGTGTGAGAAGCAGTATTGCTTCCGTATGTGGCAGCGTTACATCCGTTCCTATATAACTGGCGTAACTTTATACCTTGCGTATGTTTGTACAATGTGAGTAATTATTATTTATTGCCAGAATTATAATCACGCCCGAATTGGAGTGCTTGATGTCCAATTATACAGTTGTGCCATTATTTTTAATGCTGGCCTTTTATGCTGCTATATTTCTATAATCCTCTCTCCCAAAATTCGTGCAATCACCAAAATATTCTTGCATAATCAGACACATGCAGTCAAACAGAGAAACAAAATGATAACGCAAAGCGTACAGACACGATTATGTCCACTCATTATTTTTTATTGTGATAAATAATAAAGATGTTCAAAAATATACGGGAAATATAATTTATGCTTCCTTCCATGCCAAAGTTGGCTGAGGGATAATTGACATATTACTCAATGTGAACTTCTCTGCACCATATGGTTAAAGATTAGGCGTCATCATATCAATTAGTGAACAATGTGGTCAACGCATCCAAAGGAGCACGTGTCCAACGGACGGAGCTTTTGTCGCAACGAAGTTGCATCAAATCGTATATACCAAAAAGGGTTTGATATCGGAAAGTAAAAAAAAGTCTTCAGCGACGCAGAAAGCTTTTTACATTACTTACTTCAGAATTAAACGAATAGATCAGTCTCAGGGTTATATTAATTAGTATCGACAAAATGTTATATCATGGGTTCAGAATATCAAAAAGCAGACGACGTATCTGAAACCTTCAGGTTTTCGTGGAAATTTAGATTCCACTGACGCTCGTAAATTGAAGCCGTAAAGGTAAAATAAAAATTCATTTCTACTAAGATATAATCCAACTCTGTTTAAAATCACAGATTATAAAATTAACAATTGCAATGAAGATCGAATTTTCATTTTTGCCATTTCTTGCTTCAGTATTTTATGTAGCCAAGTGTGATGACCCTCCAGGACATCTACAACCTCTCGGCTCCCATATGCCTCCGATTAAAATAGATGTGATCGATACTCCACCCAGTCCACAAGAATTTCTTGATAAATATATTAAAGATAATAAACCAGTCGTTATCAAAGGTGCTGCAAAAGTTTTTAGCAATTTCAATACTTGGAAAGATGATGATTACTTGAGGTAAGTTTATTTTACAAAAAGAAAATGCTAGCGTCATATTATTATTGACCTACCTTAATAATTATGGATTTGCAATAGCACATACTAAAACATAGATAATACACCTGATACTGAATTCGGTAATCTATTTTTTGTTTGCCAAGCTTGCTTACCGAAAAGCAACCAGAAACAGATTTTGGGGAGTGATTGTGGATACTGTTTTAATTTACGATACAATTGGCTAACATAAGGCATAGCAGGGCTTATTACTTAATTTTATTATTACAGTGGTGTAAAAAAACGCAAATATCCAGTCATATGAATATTATATAACATATAGAATTAGTTCATCTAACTTAATTTGTTTTAACAATTTTCACACCACAGTGCAAATTACGGTAAATGGAACGTTCCTACAGAAGTCGGAAAAATTGAGATTCAATTTCCAGATATTATACCAATAGAGTTTGCAAATTTCCTCAAAAGCTATAAAAAGCGGGATCTCTGCATTATTCGGGACATTGTTTCCGAGAACCCAATGAGAGGTAAAGATTTTATCAAGGTCTACAACAAATTTTGTACTGATATATAGGGGAAAATGTTTCGTGAGAACAAGCAGCTGGGCACATACGAACATTTGCGATATATTCAATTAAAATACTCTTACTCTTCTCAGACGAACTATCTTTCATAAAATCTATGTCGTGTGGTGGATTCCAAGAACGGATTTCGAAGGTTATACTCCTATTTTCATCCGGTTCTGCTCAATCGGCAATACATTGGGATATGCATGAAAATATGCATTGTTTGCTTGATGGTACGAAGAATTGGACAATCATTCACAGGGTAAATAATATTGCTCCTTTCATAATAGGCGAAACAAATAATATAAATTTTAAGTTTATTGAATTTGCCACTAAAAACATTTGTACATTGTATAATCACGGGTGTATTCGTGAAAGCAAAGTAGTGACAAGATATTTATGCCAACAACACGCATTTGTCTAGATTTTGATAGATTATTTTTGTAAGGAACACATTATGAAATCAATTTTCAAAAAATTGTTTTTGTTCATAGCTATTATTAAATTGAAAACACATTTTGCAGGTAATTACTTGCTTTCAACCTAGTACGAATCACTTAAATACTTTACAAATACGATATTTTTGGTGACGTTTTAATATTTATTCGCTGTTTGACTACAACTCAATATCTTTTCTATAGAGATATTATTGATATAAAGTCTCAGAATTGTATTCTGTATAACGTCGAAATAAAAATCAAATATAGATTTCCTAGCGTCTCTTCATTAACGTCGGACGTACCCTGTGGATTGTGATCGTTGGTGCGAGTCGCTTAGAGATTTAGTCAACGATACCTTTGACACTCAATCATTCATTACTCGAACGGTTTCAGTGTCTATACAGTCTAATTTCCTGGCGATTTGAAAGTGTCAAACTATCTTATATACTAATACTAAGTTAGTAGAAACTAGATTGTTGTGTCTATGTGTATATAAAGAATTATGCTTTTTTCCAAAGCATTATTTCAAAACGAATTAGTATAATATCTACCAATTATATATCATATACAGCATACACCAATGATTATTTGGCGCAAATTATTGTGTTCACATTCGAATAAGTGTGGCAAATTTATTACAACAGAAAGATCGACATATACTCCCGAAGGCGGATTATTCGCCCGTATATTCTGCAGTTGATCCAAAGAGTGTTGACATGTACAAATATCCCGTAATGCAAGATATGCCTTGTTATCAAGCTGTCTTAGAAGCCGGAGATTGTTTGTTTGTTCCAAATAAGTAAGAAAGGTTTTTCATATATTACTTTTGACGAAATATCTATACTGTGCGCATATAACTAAATATATATATCTTTTCAATTAGCGCACCGCACTACGTGAAATCAGGAGATTCGAGGAATATGGCTTTTTCTATCTGGTTCGATGCCCCGAGGTCCCTCAATCTAACAGACTGTCCAGAAAATGAAGCAGACTTGCCTGACTCGGCGCCAATTGGCCATAGCGTGATATCAGATTTGGAAGGTGTGAAGTATGTCCTAATACTATGTTTCCATAAAACATTATTATTATTAAGATGCACTGTAGTAATTTACAATATTAATTTCACAATACAATTTTGTGTAACCTCATTAACTGTCTGGCAAAAATCATGGTTTATCTCAGTTGGGATCAATATAAAACAAAATCTTTTAAAAATAAACTTAAAGTTTTGGAAGATCTTGAAAAAATTTCTAATGCAATATCATGGAAGATAATAAAAATCGCCGACCCTTTTTTTCTCAAATTCGATAAATTTGGCTGTGAAGTAAAATCATTCTCCGCCCCGAATTTGAAACAAAAATTTTTTTTTCAATTAATAGACAATAATCAACAACGTTATAATGTATAATAATGAACAACTTTATTATCTTTTTACTTGAAGCAAATCTGACAAAATACTTACTCCTCTAGACGCAAAGAATAAACAAGTAGAAATAATATCTGAACACATATGATCAAAAAAGGGGATGGAAATAGAAATTTATCAACAGTTATTTAATTTTCCCAGTCAATTATATTTATTTACAATCGCTAATTTTTGATTAGTTACTTTGTAACCAGAAAAAGGTACTTAACTTTTAGAAACTCAAATGAGGTTGATCCCATGACATAAGCATAAGCACATTATATCCTATGATAAAAACGAAATCTGAAATATTTATTCAGTTTTGTTTGGTGTAATTCAGGGCATTTATATATACAATGATAGATGATAGAAGTGATAAACTGTCCGTCATCACGTTTGACGAAATGGTTCGCTCATTTGGTGCAGACGAAGAGACTCCGTCGGAACTTCGTGACGCACTCGACACGGATAGAGACGGTGAGTTGAGCTTTAAATACAAGTGATATTTCATTTTGGAGCACTGACCAATATTTATTTATTTAAAAATAATATTGTATTGTAATTAAAAAAATAAAATAAAAATAAACATCGCAGAAATAGCAAACTCCGAATGCGTTTAATTAACAAAACTGGCGTTAATGATTCCTCATTAGGGCAACAGCGTCAGAGTCATTTTGTCTTCGTCTTGAAACTTTTAGGCAGCCTATGTTCATGAATTTACATGTCTTTATATTCGGCAGGTTTTATTACCGCAGAAGAGATTGAAGCTTTAACGGATGTCACAGATGAGATGTGGTCGGGATTTTTATTTGACACAGATCAATACGAAGAGGTAGAAGACTTGGGCAAAAGTAAACAAGAAAAAGAGGAATTATAGAACTAAAACATTCAAAAAACTTGAAATAAGATTTTGTGAAAATTACCACCAATGTAAATTTATTTGCGAAGATATTATAGTGCAAACATTTATTTCAATCAATTGTAAATAATATTATGATGGAATGCGGTGCAAATTTTGGAATAAAGAACTGAATCGAAAAATTTTGAAAGAAGCGATGAACGAATGTCTCCAAATATGTGTAAATGTGTGCCCGTAGCAGTAATCCTGCCACATATGTAAACCAGAACCACGAGTGTGTGCCAATTAGATACACACTATCATTAATTTTCATCATTATATTTAATATTGTCAACAAAAAGCAACGTCTCATCTCACGCACTTCAGTAGATTTCAGAAATATCATTATTGGATAGGGTAATGGAAATGCAACCTAACAATTCTGTTAGAATGCCTATAGACAGTTGAATGCTTAAGAGGTTCGCGGATAGCTGGTTTTTGTAGGAAGCTTACCCGGCTTAAATTGTTACAAATCTTCAAAAAGGGGTAGGAAAAATTTTCATGTTTAGTCAACGGTGCAATAAGGGGGTGCGGAACTGTACATACATTGTGGGGTCCGCACAACACCTGATAGTATTTTATTCGTAATCCAATGTAGTAATGTTACAGGCAAAAATTTGTTTTTACAATATGATTGAAATAGGTGTTTAGGGGACTTATACTAATATCGAGCAAAATTATTTTTTGCCTATATATCAACTTCAGCTGAGCTCAAAATTTCTACAATATTGAGATTTTTTGTTCCTGCAATTCGGCAATATTTTCGTTGTTATTTCAAAAACTCATGTTGTCCTATGTTTGTAATAACTTTGCTTTACGAGTGAATTACTTTGCGACTTAATTGAAATTTTCCAATCAGATAGTACATCTTGCTGAATGATTGAAATTGTCAAATTGCCATGTAATATTATGCACCAAATTTGTGGAATACACATTGTTCAAGTATACGTGGCATGCGAACATGCATCACAAAATGTTTATATAATTTTTTTAATACTTTTTTTTATTATACTCAAGCATATATGGAAAATTTATGTAATCACAGTATACATTGGCAACAATTTTTCCGAACAGTTTTCGTAAACACGATTTTCCTAAATTTTACACAATGCGTCGTCTTATGAAACGTATCAAATCAATTCTGATGGTTTAAAATTACTATGGTAGCCTACATCATCAGGTTAATAAAGAAAGTATGTGATGAATCCATGAAACCAGAGAAATGCCGGATGTTATGTAAAATCTTGCGTAACGCAGGAAGGCAGTTTGAACAATAGATCGAGTGATTTCTAGGAAATCCTGTCATCGTTGAAGGAAAATATGGGAAGCAGTTCGTGATGGGTGCAAGATGGGCAAAATTTAATGTTCAATATAATATAACTTTTCAATAAGTATCATGTCGCTGTGCCTCAGTATTTTTCAATATTTAGATGATAATATAGCTAAGTTATATATATAAGGTCAGAAGATGTTAGATTCAAGTGTTGAGATTATATAGAACGATCAAGCATTATAACTTATTTATTCGGAAGTACTCTCACTCCAGACTATCAGTTAAATGAATCTTTATCTTCAGCAAGAAATTAGCAACTTAGGTAAAAGAGATAAAATTAAAAGTACTAGATAAATACAAACACTTATTTTAAATTCAGGTATTCAGAGTAAAACCTCAAAAAACCAAACAATCGCACCGTATCACAATGAACATAGGATTTATTACATTGGTATGGCTTGTTTCTCTGTTGCGCATTGCAGGATGTGATGACCCTAAAGGACATCTTCAACCTCTCGGGTCTCACATGCCACCGATTAAAATCGATGTCATAGATACTCCTCCAACACCCCAAGAATTTTTTGAGAAGTATATCAAGGTTAATAAACCAGTCGTCATCAAAGGAGCAGCAAAAGTATTTAGCAATTTCAAGACGTGGCAAGATGACGAATATCTCAAGTAAGATTTGACAAGTTATAATCAACCAGCAATCAATACAAAACTAAGCCTACTTTCTCATTTAAGCATACTTTTATGTGACTGTAATTAGCTCGCCGTAGGCGGCGAGAATAGTTTTCAGTTAATCTTAACTACCGATAAGATAGAAATAAATTTTACCATAAAAATACAAGTCCGATAAGGTGTAATTTTAGTCATGTTAGAAGGTTGGTTATAAAGCACCAGTTATATAGGACAAATAATGCGTACGTATTTTGAAATTTATATATATATATACTAACATTACAGAAAAGTTTTCAATCATACTATGCATTTGTATATTGCAGAAAGAAATACGGTAAATGGCTTGCTCCAGTAGAAGTTGGAAAATACGAAAAAAAAATTGTACTAATTCCATTTAAAGTATTTTTACGAAACTACAACAAGCATCCGATATGTATATCACGAGATATTGTACCGCTCAACCCAATGAGAGGTAAGAACAAAAACTTAAGTGCACTCTCACAATGAAATGTTATGACTGATGCATGTTTCACCAATCTTTGACTCAAGAAAACTCTCTATATTATTTATAAAAGTTATCGATGCTTCTTTCGTGGGGACTATTGCGCGTTGGCTCTTACAAACAGATTTGCATGTACTCAACCATCATGTCAAGTCAAAATAAATAAGCACCCGCGAACATTCATTTACATGCACACTCATAATTTATAATCGACCTGCGTGAAAAAAGTGTCTAAGTTAGTAATTGCTGATTTGCTGTTTTTCCGAAATGAACAAGGACATCGCGTGCCTGAAAACATCCACAAGATTTGAGATCTCAAAATAAAACATATAGATTAAAAAAATTGAAGTAATAAAGTCTAATTTATTTTTATGATTCATACCTATATATATTCTGTTTCCACCAGATGAACTGTCTCTTATGCAATCAATGTCATGTGGCGGATATCGAGAGCGGATAGTCAGAGTGATGTTTCTGTTATCATCGGGATCAGGCCAATCAGCATTGCGTTGGAATAATGAGGAAAATATGCATTGTATGCTTGACGGTACAAAGAATTGGACAATCATCCACAGGGTAACGTGTGTGTACTATTTATTACACAAAGAAATATAAAGGACAATTGTTTCAATGAGTACGTTGTTCAAAAATAAACAAAATAATGTTTGACGACATGGTATCAAACGCGAGGAAACAATATCGGTATAAGGCGAAAGGGCGAGTCATAGCCAATTCTTTTTATATTGAACTAATTAAAATACAGTGAACAGCCTGGGGATAAAACTCTTATATATCCGTTAAATAATTTTTAAAGCTTTAAAAATTAAATAATATTATTCCGGTTTCATCTATCAAGAAAAATAGAGACATGATTTACAAAGTAAAATTATACACATTATTACATCAGCCTACTCCAGTGTTTCCCAACCCGAGTCCGCGGTCTCAAATGAGTCATCGGAACGTTTGATGAGTCCGCGACGAGCCAGAATTTCACTTTGGGCCGCAAACGTTTTTGCGAAACATAACCATCAGCCATGTTACCATTTACGTTAGAATTTACATAAAACATAAAAAGTAAGTTTATTCACATAACATTAATCGAGTCAATAATTACTGGATACTGAGTAGGGCTGGGCATATATTCGAATATTCAACTATTAGAATAGCAATTTACTATTCGAAAATTTGATGAAAGGTGACGCGACAGGTCACTTGCGCGTCGCTTAATTAATCAAACGATTTGATTTCACATCTCACTTGCGGATTTCTGACAAAAACACGAGTCGGCCGGCGCATGCGTGGATAGATACGTAAGTAGTGTTTCTCGCGAGCCCGAACAACAAGGAATAACTTTTTTCTGGTAGGTGTCAATGGTGGCAACCTAAATTTTCTAATTTGAAAAGCAGCACTACAAAATACTACAAGTCGACGCAACCGCGAGTGACCATGAACACAATTAAATTAAGATAGGAAGACATTTAAAATTCTCGTCGTTGTCGTGGATTGAATATTGTGCGACAGAAAAGGCGATTTATACACTAAAAAAGTCGGCTTTTTAACAAACGCGTAATTGCGGTGAATTTCCGATTTTGAAATTCGTTAAAATTCTGTTGTGTTTGGTTTTACTACTTCTTCATACAGAGTACGCTTGCAATAAACGCACGTTGAGTCCGCAAAGGTTTTTGCCGGTGAGAAAATAGTCCGCGGCCAAAAAAGGTTGGGAAACGCTGGCCTACTACAACACCGCATTACCGATTCCATGACGTAGCTGAGAAATTTAAATAAAACGCATTTAAATCACATAACAAATGGTTATCGTCCATTGTAAACAAGCATATTTTATAAAAAGCTACAATAGGTTAATTCGAAAATAATTTTAGTTTGCAATTTTCAATTTCAAATACCATATTAACACGGCAATGAGAAAAAGTGCAATTTTCCAAGCATGTTTTAGTAAATATTCAAACATTTTTGAACTTTTAACAGAATGATCGCCATATACTTCCAAGTCATAGTCAAATGCCTATGTATTCTGCTGTAGACCCAAGAAGTGTTGATATGTACAAACATCCCGTAATGCAGGATATACATTGGTATCAGGCTTTCGTCGAGGCAGGAGATTGTTTGTTTGTTCCAAATAAGTAAGAAATGTTGTCGCGTTTTATATATCTTGTGTATGTGTATGTATGTTCTTTCTCCATTTATTCTTCTCCATTAAATCTATATTTCTGTTCAGTTCGCCTTACTACGTGAAATCGAGAGATTCAAGAAATTTGGGGTTTTCAGTCTGGTTTGCTGCACCGAGGTCTCTAAGTCTAAAAGATTGTCCAGAAAAAGAAGCTGACGTGCCCAATTCTGCTCCAATTGGTCGCAGTATGATATCAGAAGTAGAATTTGTCAAGTAAGTATTGCAAAAACACGGTACTAACTAAAGAGTAGCATTAAAAGCATTCTGATGTTATAAAACTTCCGCAGTCAATAGTGTATAGTATTTGCCAACAAAAGTGTTATTTATGTTCGTGCATATCAAATTTCTAGTAAAATAATGGGCGTGATATGGTAGTCAAATTAAATATAAGACCTGGATTTACTGAAAAAAAATTTATCCCTATAATTTATTACAGATCAATATTTTATACAATGATTGATGATCGCACCGATAAAGTATCAAGTTTCGACTTTCACAGCAGTTCTAAAATTCCTTCCATGGATATAGAATCGAGATTACTGCTATTTGATATATTAGATTTGAACGATGATGGTGAGTTACAATGATCTAGAATGAAAAGTCTGCTGTTTCAGTTTCCGCCACGGCGTGATTTGATAACAAGCAATTTTGAATAGGTCGCAATACAACGAATGTGGAAGTATATCACTTACAAATTTGCCTAATAGTACTATGCTAAACAATATCGTATAACTCGTATGTGGAGTAATATTGAAGTTTGTTTCATCTTTTCTCACAAAATATGCTCAATGCGATCCCGCTTATCTATTAAGCGTATGTGCTATTATACTCCAAACCAAATAAAGCTGCGTTATAAAAGAAGTCACATGTAGCTTTCACATAAAAATTCATAATCTTTGATATGTTCATTCTTTTGCAGATTCCATCAGCGCAGACGAGATTGAAAGTATTTCTGACTTATCCGACTCTATTTGGAAAGATCTGATATATGACCAGGACGAGTATAAAGAGTTGGAGGAAGAGAAAAAAACTGATGAAACTGGAAAAGATAAAACAGAGCTTTGAATATCTTAATGCCTCTGATGACATCGTAATTTGTGTAACTCAATAAAACCGGGGTGGGCTTTTTTTTAGTATAAGAGCAGCATGCAGCACATCAGAAATACAGAAGAGCCACCTAATTTTCAAAATTATTATTATTAAAGCTCATTAAATCATTTTGCATTGTATCTGTTACAGTTGTACCAATTTGGGAGATGCGCTTTTGTGTATTGCGACGCGAAACCGGCGTTTGGGCAATTACTCGCTTCGTGTTGTTGGTATCCAAGACTGGGACAACATCAGCAATATTGTTTTTCACAAAATAACAGTCAGAGTATGGCTGTTTAGCACGATAAATATTCCATGATATAATAAAACTAGCTTCCCTTGTTGCATCGGAGTTCTTGCCAAATGATATATATAATAAATTTCTACCATGCGGGGTTAATTATACGCGAGGGGATTGCGGGAGTCCTCGCCGTCGTAGAGTGGTTCACGTAACCGCTGATCGGTTACGACTTCCTCCACCATGCATCTGAAAACAAATAACTGGCTAACCAATTCCATATCCGACATTGACTGGTAACCAGAATATGATTAAGCCGTCATATCGGCTGTCATCTGCCCCGAGATAAATATGAAAATCCTATATGTCACGGCATACCGCCAGCAACAGACATTTGGCCATGGTAACGTAAGATTTGTCCCTTCACTCATTTAAAATTCCACGCCACAGCAATTTTCATACTAGAAACATAAGTTGTTCTAATCATTGATGAAAACTTTTTTTACCGCGTAATAAATTAAAAAAATAAACTGATAAAGTTTTTCTTAGTTGAATTTGGATAATAATTAATGCTAGCGAAAAGAGCCGCATTAAATTTCTGGCGAGTCTCGGTTTGCCCATCGTTGCAATAGTTGTTCGTTCATTTCATGCAGACCAATAACCGATACGCTTTAGCAGCATTTCATGAAACAAAAGAGGTATGCTCAAATATTTGGACACGGAAAGTGAAACGAAATATTTTATCATCAATTCCCCCAAAATCCTATGCGCTAACTTGCCAATACCTGTATCAGTACAGGGACTGTCATAGCTTTTTCAGGTCACGTGAGGTTAATCCATGCTACGGTCCGCGGACCGAATTCGGCCCGCCTGATGCTGCCACAACCGTACTAAAACCAAATTTTGATGTTTTATCTATTTTATCTATATATCTATTTTATTAATAGTTGATATTCCGATCAAATTAAGTTTTGGCTTATTGTTTTCTACTTTTGCTTTTGTAACACTGTAAATATTATTCATGAAATGTAAATTTTTACGTCACACTTACATGGCCCGCTAGTCTATGTGAGCAAAAAACCTTGCCCACCCTTCTCCATATAACACTTCCCACTTTGGCCTAACACGATCCGCTGACCTTCGCTGAGCACGGGATCCGCGGATATGCGACCGCCACAAAGTGCGCACATTTTGTTGACGTCATAGCACACAAATAACAAATCCCATAGAGTTCACAGTACAATTTAAAATGAATAAAATTGATATCGAAAAATACATTCTATAATCACTCAAAATTTTAAAGCAATTGGTCCAGTGAATAAAGAGAAAAACGATTTTTTTTATAACGATAGGAAGAAAAATTCTCACATGATGAAAAAGAACAACATATTAACAAAACGATCTGCAGGCCACTCCGTGCCCAACAAATTCAACAACATAATCGCAAAAACGATCTATAGGTCCACTACGTTCCCAACAAGAACAACAACAACATATTAACAAAACGATGCATAGGTCCACTCCGTGTAAGTAGGCTACCCCGTGCCGGAGGAATTATTTTCCGTCCAGCTGTTTTCCTGCCTGTTATATTTAAATGTGGCCATACAACTCTCAACACTCTCACTCATATCTAACTATAAACTGACATATGTTCCGAAATTTATGTGTACATCATCGGATCTCAGTGAGAACTTTATTGTATTTAAAAAAATGTATTAAATTATCAGGAAGAAAACTAAAACCGGTTACTACAACAATGACTTTGTCTATCGAAATTGAAACAACTTTGAAGAAACAGAATCAGGGGATCTATTTTAGTAAGCAAATCGTTCAAACGACCTCGGAAAACCAATAGTGGAAATCAAAAGAGTGAATATTACCAGTTAAATTACAAAACATACACTCAAGCTTACAAACATATCTCATATACAAAAGAGAGAAAAGATTAGAATCTGAGAAGAAGAGGTCAAGTCAGATTAGCCGACAATGTTAGGAAGTTCGCAGTCCGCACAAGGCCCTCCAGAAACGATGAGAACTTCGGATGATGTGCCAATGTGTCCCACTTGTCCAAAGTATCCCACCTGTCTCACTAGTCATTTGGATGGGAGAGGTGCGACACATTGGACAAGTGTGACACGTGAGATAAGTGGGACACGTAGAATAAGTAAGGCACATGGGATAAGTGGGACAAGTGGGAAACGTGAGGAACGTGGAACAAGTGGGACAAGTAGGACAAGTGGGATACGTGGGACAAGTAGAACACGTGGGACACATAGGACAAGTGGTACACGAAATTTTTAGGACACCCGAAAAATTTGCATTTATCTAAGCTGCGTGTAATATTAAGGTATCGATGTGATTTAGACGTTATGTACCAGTTTAACAATGCGACCCACTTATTTAAGCGTGACTTTGTGAAATCGTGTCGTGAACATCGTCATTGCAGCAAATGAGTAGGATATATTCATGCCATGAAAATATGGAGAATTCGGTGAAGTTTGAAGAACTGAACTTGACTGAACACATACCTGAGAGTAACTTGTAAACGAAACTATATGCTCTCAATATACGCCCATTCAAACAGTCACTACGGCTCCACAATATCCAAATTACATTAACAGTATGGTGACGCATACATGTAATTCTAATTTTGTCTTGTTATTCAATTCCTTCAGCCTATGAACAAACACAACAAGAATATCCTTGTGCGACGTACGCATCTAGCACGTAGCAAAAGACAGCCAAAAGTGGACGGAATAATTCAGTTGATGAGGAAAATGTATGAACGCATGTTAATGCTAATCTATCTTTGAAAATTCTATTGCAAAATTATGACTATCATTCATGAAATATGATGTTATATTTATGACGGGTATATATTATGTATATGAATATGTCTAATATATATAGTGAAATGCGATTTATAATAGAAGGCAGATGATAAGTTCTTTATACCCAGATTATTATCCAGAAAAGGTTGGACTGTTCGTATTATAATATTAAATTCTAATGAACTTTAACTGAGCATAATAGGGGATATTGTACCAAAAAATCGAATGAGAGGTAAAGTAATAGAATAAAGGGAATAACCACACTATGTAAAATCGGGAGATTCGAGAAATATGGCAGTTTGAATATGGTCTGCTGCACCGAAGTCACTCGATTTTAGAAATTGTTCATACAACATGGAAAGGATTCCAAACTCAGTACCGGTAGGTCGAGCTATCAACATATCTAGATTAGAATTTGTCACGTGAGTGTAGCAGAAAGATTATATCGTATTTTATAGCTAAATAAAAGGGTCAAAGTGTTATGGATTGTTGTTATTGATCAATGTTTTTTACTCAACTCATAGATTATGTTATTAAGCTATTCCATAAATCAATGTGATTTTATAAAATTAAATGTTATTACTCTAGTTTATGCGCAATTGCTGAATATAAATTCGAATTTTTCTATCTCATATAAGTGAATACTTATCTGAAATCTTATCATCTTATTTCCATTATTCCGCTTTAAACCTGAGAATTGTGATTGTTTACATTTAAAATTTAAGCAATACGAGGATAACACTTAATAACGCTTATTGACTGTCCCCAATAGCTGGCTAATTTAACAGACAATATATCGATCATATAGGGCTATGCTATACAGCATGATAGACAACCGAAGCGACGACTTGGAAGAAGGGATATTATTTCAATAATATTGAATACTTCAGCGTAGGCGATGATAACGCTGAGAAAATATACGATGCAACAGATGAAGATCATGATGGGATTTCTATATAATAACGAATGAGATTTTGTTAATTTTATTTTTCATGTAGACAATTGTTGGCAAGTAGTTTTTTGACTTATTCGATTATCGGGTATTTCTTTTCTATTTATCAAAGATAAAATATCCATCTTTGTGTGGGTGTTGGGTGAATTGTGGACCTTTTTTCCTGATAGTGTTAGGTTGAAAGGTTTCTATTGGTCTTCCGTAACAATAAATTCACATGCAGCTTATTTAACAGTATTGATCACTAACGAGTAGTAATATATTTTTATAATAATAAATTCAGTATAATTACATTTGAGCCAACTAATATCAGCATTGTTTTGGATGTTTATTTAACGTTAAAAGTGTTGCTAAATAGGAACTAAAGTCAATAGACAGTGGTAAATACGTGAAGATGATGTGTTTTTCTTTGTATAGGCGTCATCACCGCTAAGGAGATCGAAGACATCAATGACGTATCAGATGAAATGTGGGATGAGTTTTCAATCGATTTTGATGAATATGAAGAACATGAGGAACAAGCCGATACTGACAAAAACGCAAAAGAAGAGTTTTAAAAATATTTGACAAAACGATTCAAAACATTTCCTTTATTAATTTTAGTCAAACTAAACATTACCAATACGTATTTTAACGCCATCACTTTAAACAAATGCAAAAAACAACTTGTGTTTACAGTTAATACAAGGTACATAGAAAACGATTAGTATTTTTGTCTGCGCAGGCATGTATGAATGATTGTTATATTTCATGCTAGACAATTCATTTAGAAAAGCGTATTTTGTTATCAGCCAATTGTACTGTGATTGATTGCGTTTATTTCTTGTTCGTCTCATGTGCAACACCAATGTATTTGAACGATCTTTGATTCATTGTGTTGTAGATTTAAGATGTGTTTTTAAAATTAGCTGCACTCGGGGACCTTGAAAATTGAATATTTCATTCATAATTTTTTTTAGTTACTTTGTGTACAATTCATTGTAAAATTCAAAACGAATAATGTCTGACAAACTTCCCGTCAACTCCAAAATTTGTACATTTTAACAACTGATAATAAAAGCATGATGAAAGCAAATTAAAAACACAAACAAAAAAAAACATACAAATTTGCTAGTAATTTTATTTAACTACTTGGTAGCAGTAGCTACGCTCCACAACAGCAATAAACTTTAAATTTACTAAATATCGTAATTCAACACGTGGTGTATTTGACGCGTCCATAATTTAATTACCTCCTCAAAATATTTATAATTCATTCAAACGAACTCACATTATTATTCAGAGAATATTAAAGAGCAGCATTGTGCCAATCATTTTTTTCATCTGTTGGGTGAAACTTCACTAATGTAAAAATCATGATTTAGCGATATTCAAGTTGAGTTAGAAAAAAGAAACTAGTTAGAGTCAATTCAATAGCAGACTTTGTTTCGAATTAACAGGACTCAAACATGCTAATCTTGAGACTCATAGACAAACAGTGCGTGGACACACTATCCAAATATCTCCAACTCGATTCTATCTAGTAAAAGTGGAAGGCATTGGTTGACGGCATAGATGAATGGAACTCATCCCAAGGTTTCGGGCTGTCATTACTTACACAAAATTGAATAATTAAAAGACAGGAGACGATAAAAATATTATGGATTTCAACCAACGTTGATAATGCAGGTATTTCATACTAAATCCACAAAATATTGAAAACTTAAAATTAATCTCTCAAATGTATGAATATCTTTATTTAATTGATTTATTGCATCTGAAACAAGAATTCGCCACTTGCATAGCTTAATGCTTCTACTGTGCTAATTTTGATAATTTTGTCAAATCTTACCATCGTGAGCTGAATTTCTGTTATGCGTGACATTGAGTAGGGTGACATTCATTCTTATGTAATTCATTTATTACCTGTTAACCCACATTTAGCCCACCCCGTATATATCGTTCTTTTCACCTATTATGAAATGAACTTCAACAAGAAATAATATAGTATGCCATTGTATAACAGCAGAAAATAACAATTACATATTTATGTTTTTAAGTATTTCAATATATGTTCGAGTTTTACTTTTACCATTCATTTGAAATCATATAAACAATCTGAAATACTTTAAATTTTGACAAACAAACGTCTATTTAAGAAATGAAATTCAATAATCGTGATATCGTTAATGCTTAACTTATTCTAAAACAACATCATTCTGTATCTTAAATGATCAATTCTAAATGTTATTCATTTATTCCCAATATACAATAAATATAGATAAGTTTTTGCGAGACTTTCACGGATTATGCTACCAGCTTTTGAACGTTCATGCTGTCTTTATTTTGGAATATGAAAGTTTTGTATTAAATATTAAACCTCCATTATTTCTTGTGATAAAACAAACATTGATCTGACCTGTAGAACCATTTCGACTGAGCATAATAAATGTTTTGTTGTGATTTGTAGCTCCAGAACACTACGGCACATAAACTGTGGCCTCAGACTTTCCTAAATATTCTGTTGTAAGATCATCATAGATTGTTGACGATACCAAAATCTAATTTTGAGACTTGGATACGTCATGTTTGAGAATATCGTTTAATATTATGAAAGATGTTCTTACGTGTAGAAGAAAATTGGATTACTGGCGATGGAGTGTTTTGTTATTGTCCAAGACGCAATTTAAACATTGTGAATATCCGTAGTCAAGCAACTAACACCAGATTTTACCTTACGGAATCTTATCAGTAGTTTTTTTATGCTTCGAAGATGTTGATACTTTGAAATGTATCTATTCCTCTGAATGACACAACGGTTGTTACGAGAAAATTCATCGGTTCTATACTACTTCTAATGTACGGTGTTAACAAGAATGATTGAATGTGTATTCAGGTTTTATTTACACTAAAACGAGATCCGCTCTGGAGTCTAAATCGATTTCAAAATGAAGAAGTTGTCTGATACGAGATAGATCAAAATGGAAACTTAGAAGAAGAACTTAAAATGTAAAGCACCTAAATCATCATGAATGAATTGAAGCAATAAATGACTTCATTGTAGAATATAAACCTTAATCATTCTGAACTGCAATACAAATATAAAATTTGTTGGATTCTGCGGGATTTACTATAGCAGACATAATCGCCACAATGCACTGCAATGAAAAACCAAAAATCTGCTAGATTCAATGTTATTTTTTTTTAAATAATTTGATGCGGTACCTCTGCAGTCACAATGAATCGGTAGTCCTAAAACAATCTGGCCGGTGTGAAATAGCTTCGCAATTCATAGAACTGCGTAGAAATACCGACGTATACTTAAATGATATGCTGCTTTTTACCATGAATGAAGACTTGATTAAGCGTGACATCGTGATATCGTGCCGTGTACATTGTCATCCTAGCAAATAAATGAAGATGGTGTCGTGGGTGAAAACGTTTTATATTTTTAAGGTAAACGAAAACATTTTTGAGCAGGATAAATTTACGCTATGGAAATCTGGAGTATTCTGATTATTTTAAATATTTCAATTTGACTCAACATATACTCCAGCGTTACAAGAAATTAATATGTTTTTAAAATATATGCACATTCGAACAGCTTCTGCTGCCTAAAATATACAAATTGTATTAGCAATATGGTGACGCACATATGCAATTCTAATTTTGTCTCGTTATTTAATTACTTCAGCATATGGAAAACATATCAATATTATCCGTGTGCCGCGTACACATTTCTAGCACGTAGAAAAAGACAGCGTGAGGTAGACAAATTAATTTAAATTGAAGGAAATGCATGTACGGAATTATTGCTAGAATACCATGTTTATAAATTATATCGCAAAATTACCAGGATCCTTCCTAAAACGTCAGGTTATATTTACCACGATAGACCAATCAAGACATAAATATAAAAATAAAATTATGGGATGCGGTCTATAGGAGCCAGATTATTACCCAGAAGAAGATGTTTGTATTAATATATCAAATACTAATGAGGTTTATGTCAATTATATAAAGTTGTGCATGACATGGTATTTTCAAATTGTGTTCAGAATAGAAAATATCGTAACAAATTAGAAAAAAAAATAGAACTACAATGCGTGCATCTTCGATCTTCATTCACGTCTTGTTTTGTGTGCTTTCCCATCTCAGTTCTGTACAATGTGACGATCCCTTAGGACATCTTCAGCCCCTCGGATCCCACATGCCACCAATTAACATCGATGTAATCGATACTCCACCAAGTCCACAAGAATTTCTGGAGAAATATGTCAAGGTTAATAAACCAGTCGTCATCAGAGGGGCAGCAAAAGCATTTGATATTTTTAATACATGGAAAAATGATGAATATCTCAGGTGGGTATCTGAAGAAACGTGTTCAGGTCCAGTCAATTCAAAGGATTGAAAATAATCTTTCCTTTGATTTTCATTCATAAAACAACTTTTACAGGGAGAAGTATGGAAAATGGCTTGCCCCGGTAGAAATCGGAAAATACGAAGCACACTTCAACGAAACCGTAATAAAAATTTCGTTTGATTGGTTCTTGTCAAACTATAAAGATAAAGAATTGAGCATTATAAGAGATATAGTTTCTAAGAATCCAATGAGAGGTAAGTAAGGAGATTTACAAATATTTATATTCATGGAATGCAGATAATAGTTATGTTTCAAGTTTTAAATTTCGATGATACCAATTGTACGAAGAAAGATAATTTACCTAGTGGTGTGCTATCTAGCTATCTATGTATATCAATAGCATTTGTTAATTGCTATTATTATGAGCCACAGACAACGATTTTGCAGTTAGATATTGTCACAATTCTTATGTATTTACAACTTATCATCCTTATAAATGTTAATTTACCCACAAATACCAAAATAGCTGCGTAGAGCGAAATTTTTTAACCATTGTGCTTTTTTTCAACATTTTTTTTGTATAAATTTCTACAAATGGAACTTTTTGTCTTCCTAATAATACAATATACATAATTTCTTAAAACGGAATTGTATACTTATATATATACTTTTATATATGCAAATGTTGTTCATTGAATAAATGAAATTGAATGTATGAAATTGTTATTAAATGTAATACTTTATAATTTGATATAATTTTATTCAGATGAAATATCTTTAATGAAATCGATGTCATGTGGCGGGTATCACGATCGCGTAACGAATGTAATATTTATATTCTCATCCGGTTCTGGTCAGTCAGCAATACATTGGGATCCTGCGGAAAACATGCATTGCTTACTTGACGGAACAAAGGAATGGACAATAATACACCGGGTACAATATTCATAAAAAATCATTTTAACGCTCGATTTCTGTTTTTTTTTTCGATTCCTCGAAATGATTCTTTTATATCTATCTTGGAATATATACATATATATATATTATTCCATGAATTTCTATCCACAAATAACTGTTACACGTATACGGTTAGGCAATATCAGCTTCAAAATCATATATATCTGTTTTTTCATTCCACCATTTACTATTATCAACAACTGAGCAATTTTAGTGACTGCGGATAGGGCAATGATATATACATATTTTTATCTTCGAGAGACCGCAAAGATTTTGTAAAAATATTATGGATGCCAACGAATAAAAAAGACTAAAATGCATTGAAAATACATGTTCACTAAAACTGTCAAACTTTATCATATACTACTGCTACTATTTAACACATCAAAACCGTACTTTTATTATTGGATACGACGAGAAGTCCCTGATTCGGGCAAAACTAGTAAAAAGTTTGAAATTCCCAAGGTTATTCCAAAAATCTCACAATTTCGTTATGCAAACACTCTATGGGGTTAATAGCAGGTATTTTTGAACAGAAAGATCGCCACATTCTTCCAGAATACAACGAATCTAGAGTGTACTCTGTTGTGGATCCAATGAGAGTCGACATGAAAAAATATCCAGTAATGCAAGATATGCCTTGGTATCATGCTTCTATCGAAGCAGGAGATTGTCTGTTCATTCCAAACAAGTACATTTATTTTCATCTCTTTATTTTTCAATCTTGTGTTAGATATAGATTACCAAGAACGTTTTTCTACGTGATCATTAAAACATTATGAACATACATAACAAAATAGACCTATTAAGTTATTTATGCATATTTATGTAAGTATTCCGTTTTTTTTATTAGATGCAAATTTACTTTTTGTGGAATAAATTTATCTATACATATTTACATCACAAATAAGTATATGTAATAAAAAAGCTCACATGCAAGGTACTTGAATTTGTACTGCTAAAATATACATTACATAATTCATTATTTCAGCTCACCGCACTACGTAAAATCGGGAGATTCGAGAAATATGGCAGTTTCAATTTGGTTTGCTGCACCGAAATCGCTCGATCTCAAGGACTGTCCAGAAAACATGGAAAATCTTCCGAATTCAGTACCACTAGGTCGATCGCTCATTTCGAGATTAGAAAATTTCAAGTGAGTAAAATAAATGAATTCATCGTATTCCATATTTTATTACGAAAGTTAAGCTATGAATTATGGTATGCGATAAAATAAACGATGAGATTTTTGAAAAGTTAAATGGTAATACTATGATTCTGCACAACGAGTAAACGAGAATATCGCTCGGAGACCGAGGACTTATCGATCAAAACTGCGGTTTCGATTCATGACTCTATAGTGACACCGCGTGTCATATTCTCGTTTATTTATTATTTATTTTCATTGTAATTTAGAAATACGACGATAACGCCAATTAAAATACGACGATAACGCCAATTAAAATACAATCGTTGAGCCTTCGGTACATATATATAAATCAAAGTAAAAACTAAAATATTCACTACCCATAGTTCGCTAACCTGATTCATTCAAAATCCAGGGCTATGCTGTATATGATGATAGACAACCGAGGCGATGAGTTGAAAGAGGAGAAGTTTTTCCATGATATTGAATACCCCGGCATGGACTATTATGATGACGCTGTGAAAGTATGGGAAGCAATAGATACAGACGATGACGGTATTTTCACATAATGCGAATATGCTTTTTTAACCCAGATATTCATTGTATACATTTGTAGACACTCTAATTAGGTTAATCAACACCTGCTCTATTTTAAATAGCTTTTCGTTTATTAGGAACGCTATTTGGTTGATATACTAAATAAGGGATTTGCCTTACGCAATAATTTGCCGTAATGCTACCTCTTGTAGATGAATGGCAATTCAGTTTTTTTAACGTAGGTGGAGAGCTTTATTCTGTCAGTGTTGAGCTGAAAAACCCACGTCAAGACTATATCTGTTGGTATTTCATAAACAACAATAAATCCGTATCTAACTCTTTATGTAATTAATCACTATCGATATATAATCTATCTAGCTTTGAATTATACCAAAATAACATCGAAAGGGTGTCAATTTGAAAATTGTTACTAAATTGAAACTAATATAAATAACAAGGGATAAAATTTTTCCCCCCTTTAATTATTATGAGGGCTTTTTCTTTGCATAGGTGTCATTACTGCGAAAGAGATCGAAGATATCACGGATATATCTGATGAAGTTTTGGATGCGTTTTCATTGGACGTAGATAAATATGAAGAAGATGAGGAACTGACTAAAATTGTCATGAAGGCGAAAGAAGAGTTATGAAAATGACTGACAAAGTGATTCAAAATTTTTCATGACTCGTCTTAGTAAAATTAACAACTGACAATGAGGATTAAAAATACAATAGGTTTTTTGCATTGTAGATAAAAATGATGAATGAATATAGTAAAAAAATGATAAAGTACATGAGTGAGATCAAATAAAATTATGCGAATGTACTAATATAATGTGAATGGTTCGTTATTTTGCCGACTAGGGTTATTTAATTAAAAAATACTCTAAAAACACAGCTTACACACATCTGGCAGTAGTTAAATAATGTAATCAGTGCTGTACATTGTGTCACCAACCGTTCGTATTATGCGTGTGGCGACGCACACAAGCTGTTATTGAATGGATTTGTCTATTGATCGGCTCACTTTTCACACAAATATAAGGACAAATTTCGATGATAACGATCGCGTATAGAGATGCGAGATCTATACTTGAGATTAGACTCGGAAATTCATTCATGTACTTCATATAACAACTATTCTATTCAGAATGATGTTTTTTTCGAGCTTTTTCATTGACTTCAGTATAACAATCGAGGTGAATGTTTTCTGGCAAACTTTTCGTCATCCTTAAAATTTGTACCTTTAAGAATTATAATATAACGTTGGTAAACAGAAAAAAGTAATATAGATTTGTTATTTGTTTTTATAAAATAGCAATTTTGTATACTTTCCGGTAATTTTAGCTATGCTTCACAACAACAATAATGCAAGCTCATTGAATATCGTGTTCTGAGACGTGGTTAATTTATTCACCTCCTATATATTTATATAATTCATGCCAACGGACTCACATTATTAGTCAGAGATTGCTGGAGATCTTCCCAGTAAAATGTTTCAGCTTCAGGATGTAGATTCACCTAGACAAAAATTCCCCTAAATAAAGTTAGGATTGCAAAGAAAAAACATGTAGAAACTGATTTCATAACATATGTCGATATACCTACTATACATCCCCAATATTTTCCAAATATATTCTTTCTAAAAAATGTGGAATGCGTCAGCATACTACAAACTGAGTGGAATATACTACAAACTACAAGCCTTTTCGTTTCTCCTAATAAATTGCCTTAGAAAAAAATTACAGAAGACATTAAAAATAATTCAGGATATGATGAAAATAAAATATGCAGCTATTTCTACTAAAGTCACGAAGAGAAAAATACTAAATTCAAATTTCTCGCGTGAACGAATGAATATTGCATGGTGTATTGATTCGGAAACGAGTTTTTTTTTTATTGACAATAATTCCATGCTATTATCCGGACATAAATAAAAATATCATTTGTGTGATTTTTATAATTTAGCTTCATAGATGGTGTAGATATTGCATGCATTTTAAAAGTACAAAATTTTTTCAGAGTTTATTTGGATTCTTACCGCCGTGAGCTCAAGACCTGTTATGCATTTCCAATTATCTAGTTTGTATCGCACTCTCCACCGTTTCTGAAATATTATAGTACGATAATGTATAAAAGCAAAGAGATATAAATAATTGAAATATTTTTCAAGCTAAATATTACGATATTTGATTTCAGTGTATTTTTTATTTATTTAAGATGGGAGTCTGAATTTGATACGTATTTATATTTCATCCAGCACGTGATTCTCTAAAGCCGTCTTTTACTCTAGCATCAAAATCATACACCCGTTTGAAGAATGCTGGCTTCTTCTCAGACCTGTGATAAATAGGTTTCATACATCTCCCAATTTTTAAATCTTCAAAAATAAACTAATACTGGATTTGATGACTGGTAGGAAGGTACATGCGATCACTAATCAAAACTATCATGAATAAGATTAACATTCTGTTCTGTATAATTACAAATTATAAACCAGGTGAATTTGTTGTTGCTGGTTATCATGCTATCAAGTAGCAAACAACTTCATATCTTATGACCTTGTTATTTTTTTTATTCAAAAATGAAAATGAAACTATTTGTGACAAGCTTTAATGCACTTATTATTTCAAAACGTACGCATGAGCAGCAGAACCATTGAGAAATCGAGATCCACACTTTCCGTCGCCTCCTTTTGGTTTTTAATAACATATATGTTATGCGAAGTACGAGAGAACCAAGTGGAACAAGAAAAAAAACAAAAAGCCAACCTGAGAAAGAAAATTGATTCCGATAAATTAGCAATATGAATTTAGCTTTTAACTTTAAATTTTAAAATTTAGGATATTGCTACCAATTGTTAGTGTCAGCCTAATTAATTTAAAAGCTTCAAATATTCAGCATTACTAACTTTGACTGCATCCACCAGCACCATTGTCTATCAAGCCTTGTTTACATTCACAGACATTTCCTTCTTTATATGTTACACAATTCCTGTCGCTGTGGCATTCATTCCACTTGTTGCATTCGTCTGAGATCATGTAAATAATTTGAAAACAATCTCATGTTTTGTTACAATATAATGAATAATATAAGTAATTTAGGGCTAAAATTGTACTAAAATAATTGAATTAATTTTTGTGCTTTTCCTTCATTTATGGCATTTACAGTATGGCATACATTATTAAAAAACAATAAGATGCTTGTACACTTCACGACTTTAGTAGCATCCAAGATAGTACCAATATATATTTCAATTTTCACATTAAGAGATTTTAAAACAGAATCTTCTGAACTAAATTTAGCTCCAGTGAACACTATAATTTCTTAAATTAAATTATTGACTGCAAAGATTTTATTAACTTTCGTCTGGAAACAAACATTGTTCTGACCTTTGACATCAAGAGATGCAGATATGTTGCAGTTGATGAGAATGTCGTTTTCTGGAGCGCTCGCTGAATCAGTGAATAGTAATAAATGTGGTTGGGTGGGATTTTCTTTTGTAGAACCGCTCCCAGGAACCCTCATTGAAGCACGCAAGTTAGTTAGAGTAGACAAATCTGACATCGACATCTCAGCGGTAACAGCGTCCGTAAAGGATTGTATATTAGTATTTGAATTGAGAGGTTTAACAAGACTATTTGCAGAAGAAGACGTATTTTTATCTATCGAGTTCGCGTCTTTGGTAGTGAATTTTTTCTCGTACTGTATTTTTTCTAAAGAAAAATATGCTTTATTGTTGTTTGTAGATCCAGAAGACGGCAGTACCAAATCTGTGGGCTCAGAGTTTCCTAAGTATTCTGTAATAGGATTATCATATATTGTTGATGATGTTAAACTCTCAGGTGTGATTTTAGGCCTACTTAATGATGCTGATGAATACGAAAATGATGGCTCCGTGACACTTAAAGATGGTAAATTTAGTGCATTCTGATAATCATCATCAGTAGTCGCAGGTACTGTTGGGAATATTTTGTCAACATCATGTACGACCGACGATGTTGATCTGCTGGAATCCAAAAAAATTGCTGAATTGACGTCTATGTGAGTTGCTTTGCTTTGCATGGCAACTGTTGGAGAAGGCATCTGAGTTAGTCCTGTATACGAAGAATATGCTTTTTTGCTACTTGCATACTGGGATTGTAATACAGTTTTGTTTATTGTTGAGATATTCGAATTAACGATTCTAGTGGCGCCATTAGTTTGATCCGCGTTGAATTCCTCCGGTAACTTCGATGATCTTTTAATATCAGTGAAGTTGCTCTTACCCTTCGCAATAGACTGGCTGACGTCTGACGGCGTGCTTCGTTGGATGTTTAGAAACAAGTCTCTTGCTTGTGTTGAATTATTGTGAATATTCATTTCAAGCGCCAGTTCATTCGTCGACAGCTTCTCAGTTTTAGCCTTTGTTGGCTGTCTGCGCGAAGGCGTCAGGTATTCCACAGGAAATGTCATGAAAGTTGTCACAGACTGTGCCTCATTACTGGTATTTACTTTGTTTCTCTGGACAATGTTATTCTCGAGAATCTTGTTTGGTGGTGAATAAGTTTTAGATGATCGCGTGGAAGCTGGAGTCATTTTTGAAGAATAGATGGATGAGCTTGTGTTAGGGTATTGAAAATTGTTTCTTTTGAAGGATGTTCTTCTTTGCTTAGCTCCAAACGAGTTACTTCTGGGTGTCATTTTTGTATTCACCAATGAAAACGTTCTAGTTGATTTGGAGACAAATATCAATGATTGGGAAACTTTACTTGTGTATGCTGAACGATTACTACTCAGGTGATTTAATGAATTTCCCATTTGCATTACTGCAGGACTTGTTTTCTTTTCCGTGACATTCTGTCGATAAGGCACTGACGTAGATGAAACTAATATGAAGTTAGGCAAAATGATAGAAATAGGTGTATTTGAGATGTTAGACAATGACGATACTTCCGAAACTTTGGTTACAGATTGTTTTGAATATTTCTTGATCGGAACACCTCGATATTCCGCCGATAATGGGCTCTCTGGTTCAATTCTATATCTGCCAGATGAGCTTGGTGTTGATGAATATGAAAGTGATGGCTTGGTGAGTCTTTTCCTTGAAGATGTTAAGTTTGTGAAGTGTTTATAGTTTCCAGCAGCTGTTACATTAAAAATTGAGTCTGTTTTGTAAACAAGCTTCTTTTTCGTTGATTTTTGTTGGTGTGGATATGGAGTACCTGTCGAATCAACAGCAATGGGAATCATTTTGTTTTCTTTGCCAACTGTTTGAGACGCTCGCAATGTAGACTTGTGTGCCGCTGTCAAAATAGAATCATTTAAACTAATGATATTAGAAGGGTCAGTCGGTCTTAACAGATTAGATTTCATTGGTAACTTCGAATATCTTTGAATAGTGTGTGACTTGGATGTACTTGTACCAAATAAAAAGTTTTCTTTTGATGACTTGTATGGTTTTGTATAAATGGACCTGTCTTTCGTTGGTGTTGTGATATTTAAGAAACTATTTCTGGCCAAGGTCAGTTCGTTAGTAGGAAGTTTCGCGATATAGGTCATTGCTAACAATTCTTGCTTATTAACAGTCTTCAAAGTTTGTGCAGGTGTAAATATTTTTGTGGAAGATGCCACAGAAGTTGTCGCAGACTCTGTTATGTTTACGTAATCTACATTGTCCCGTACAATGTTCTTCTCTAATAAGTTTTTATTTGTTGGCGAATAGGTTCCAAAATGTCGTGTGAAATCGGGAGTTTCATTTGAGAAAGATGTGGATAAATTTGTGCTAAGAGTTTGTAATTTGTTTTCTTTGACAAAATGCTCCCTTTGATTTGCTTTAATGGAACCTTTGGGAATAATTTCCAATTTTGGCAAAGTGGTAATAGCGTCACCTCTTGCGTCTGCTGGTCCCCGAAAAATTAAGGAAGGTTTTGACTCTGGCGATTTATTGCTAAATCTTGCTATGCTCCTGGTTACATTAAAACTACCTTCGATTCGAGAGTAGAACTTTTTTTGTTCGGTTAATAGATTAGCACTTGTTGAGTGTATAACGTTATTTGGAAGCTTAGTATAAGAAAATTGGGTTTCTTGAGTTCTATTCCTTTCTTTGATTCTTTTTATTATGGTAGATTCAGATTCACCGGAACCAGTGATTGGTTTTTTTTTACCTTCATTATATTCTTTCTTACCACCAACGTCTTTGTCTAAAACATTTCAAAATAGGTATTCAATGGGAGTTGAAGAAAATTGAGAGCTCAGCACAATAAATAGTAATAGAGTAGCAGATCTTAAATATGTTAACCCAAATTGCATCGGGCAGATCGCTGGATTCATGTCTTCCTTCACATGAAATGCAACACGAACTAAAATCTATAACACGACTTTAAAATGGATAATTAAAATTCTCGCCTCTATTCACATAATGGGATGTTACATACGATATTAATACCCCCATTCCAGATTCCGGTGTTCTATTTAAAATAGTGGTGATATGTATATACGAATGTGCTTACCTGGTATGGTTTCAGCATTAATGCAAATCACACGATATAAAACAACCATCCATAAAAACGCGCGACAATTCATGAATATTCCAAAAATGTGAAAACCGTGCTAAACCAAAATATTGTGATTTTTTGACAAAAACCTAATCCGTTACTCCAATGCTGTAAAATAAAATAGGATTACTAAAAGTGTTATTGTAGCGAATAGGCTGGATTTATTTTAATATAAGACTATTCTAATTAAATTGTAATTGACTATAGTCGTATTAAATCTATAATTCTAAATCTCATAATCCTATACTATAACAATTTAGGTCCAAAATGCAGGGAATATTGCTTGTTAGATGGGAGGAAATTTCACGATGCAGAGTTTTTTATTACTTCTCGTGTCCTAAATTTTTATTATTTTTGTCTTCCTGAATTACTTACCACGCACCTAATAAAAATGTATAAATTTCGTTTGTTTGCTGATCATTGAAATTGTTCACTCGTTTAATGAGACCCGTCTAAGAGACACTCGTTCAAGAGATTACTATAAAAATTCATACGACGATGACGCTAGGGGGTACATAGTAATTATTTGTTTAAAAAACATATCACTTAAAATACCCTTCACTTTACTGGTAGGTTTATTTTGATTTTGTGTATATTTTTATGACAAGACTAAAAAATCAGTGAAATTTTAACTATATATGCGCTAGTTTCACATTTTATTAAATTATTTTGTCATTTTCAACAATTTAAGATGTCTCAAGGTATTTATGGATAATATATGAACAACAGATCGTCATTTTAGAATATTCTGTTGTATACTTATTAGAAAAAAACTTTGCTTTTCAATGGATATAAACTCTTTACCACCGACCATTTGTCGAGTAATATTTTAAAACTTTTAGTTCTATAAATTAAATACCTCCATTACCATACAATCACGTATGTACTTCTGAAATTGAACAATATTTAGTAGTCTATTCTGCAACGATATTACTACTATTTCGGTTCTTTACTATGATTGTTCTACTTCGTAACTTTCGTGTGCACATATATGTACTCTCAAGAAAGCAACTTGTATTTTGAATAAGTAATACACATTATTGATCATTAGCATTTGCCGTTTACAAGCAAACTATAAATTTATAACATTGAATTTATTGAGAATGAATTGTGTGAATCAAAGGTTTAATCCCCTAACCAATAAACTGTATAACGTCGTGATATATTAAACCATTTCATGGAAAGTAATTAATCAAATTAATAATACACAAATCAAGATAAGCAAACGGGTAGACAATACTCACTGTACTCGTATTGATTCTTCATTGCTACGGCACATCACGTACATCCGGTACGTTTCTTTTTTTACCTTGCTTCTTTTATGGGTAATTCTGATTTAAAAATGAAGGCTAAACGTCTTTGATTGTGTGACTATATTACAGATCATTGATTACTTGCTTGCAAATCCGTTTAATATAATTGAATAATTAACTTTTAATTTTGTTGACGTCACCACACAAACGTCAAATAAAAAAACAAATCCTACAAAGCCCACAGGAAGTTTTGAAATGAATAAAATTACCAGCCTTCTAGCGGCAACAACAATCTTCAACCACTGAAAATTTCACAGCGACCGGTCCAGAAGTTCACAACAACAAGAAGAAAAATTCGAAATGACAAAACGATTCATAGATCCACTTCGTGTCCAATAAAGCGTAGAAATGATGAGAAAAATCTAGTGTCGTTTTTCAGAAGCAGAGTACACTATTTGCATTATCCACCCACACGATATGTCATTGTTTTACCTAGTATAGAAGATGATCTGGATAAAATTGTCATTAATAAATATTTGATTATACACTGAATTACTATTTGTGGTCTACAATTTTCATAACACGATACGAGTTAATCGTTTACACCGATGGGATCAATTATGAAACCAAATCCCTGATATTTCACCCCGTATCGACATCGCAAACACTCGATGTAGTCATTCATATGGAAAAGCAGCAATGAATACCACTCTAGATTTAAATGATTCTACAGGAATACTGCAACTCACAGATCCGCTGACTTTGATCGAAGAAAATGAATTACTTTTGCGAGGACATGCAATAGTGCCGCTTGCGATCACCATTCCCGTGGCAGTCGGAATTGTTCTGTCAAACTTTTTATGCATTATGGTTAAAGTGCGTTACAAGCCGCGGTTTCATGAAGAGAACAAGTATTATATGATAAACTTGGCTTTGACTAATATACTGTACGGTATTCTTATAATAACTCATTGTGGATTTTACTTGCATCACGAGAAAAGTATTAGTGGGTTATTAAATAAAACTACGGCAGTATGTGTACTTTCAAAAGTGCTGTATGTCATAGAATATCAACCGTTTTTATCACTTACTGCAATGGGGTTGGATATAGCCTATTATTGTTACTATCCTCTGGATTACAGCATTAGAATGACAAAATGCAAAATCGGAAGAAATATTAGTATTTGTTGGCTCTATACCTTGATACTCACAGTGATAGTCATGAGTATTGTTGGCACAAGCAACGTTTGCAACATTTCTGCTATTAAGGTAATTTTTATTTCATTTATGTCTTTTTACTTTTATTATGGCGCTTGCCATAATCATATATATTTGAACTTTTTCAGGCACATTCTGCGGTCCTGATGTTTCCACTGCTTTGTCATGCTTTGCCTGGAATCATTGTGATAATTGTATTCGCATATATGCAAAGGATGCTAAGTTGCAATGGACAAGCAATTGAAATGCCCATTCATACCGTTCCCAGATTTTTAAAAGATTTTTTCCTACTTTTTACTGTGTGTACGTTCTTAGGCATTCTCCACGTTATACTTCACGTTGGATTTTATACGTTCAAGTGGAATATTAAGTAAGTGTTATTATATTATTGACTATACAACCATTCTTGTATAGGCCCTATAGGATATAGTTCGGCGAAATCACTATATCATAACTCAAAACTAATATACGTAAATTCAGCGGAGGGATGATTTTACGATACCTTATTTATATTATTATTAGCCGTGTTAAGACTAAGAGGTGTATTGAAAATAAGACAGAACGAATAACACAGCTAAAATCATTGTCATGGAAAAGGATTTGTCCAGAATCTTACCATAAACGAAACATAACGTATGCTGAAAGACCATCCCGGACATAAAACACAAATAACTGCTGCTCCTAAAATTAGCGTTTTCAATTTCTAGAATTCAATAAATTTTCACATTTATTTAGACGATGGTCTGTAGAATTGATCGTTTGCCTGAACAATTTTTTCAACTGCTTCTTTGCTCCATGGGTCTACTGCCTTGCAAGAAAAGAAGTTCGAGTTCGAGTCATTAAGTCATTTCGCATTTTTCTATCAGAGAGATTTGGTTTAGATTTATACAAAAAATGGGAAGCTAAGAACTTCTTCAGGAAACCATCTGCAAAAGTATCTACAATCGCAAAGAGCAAAAACTGTTTAGTAGTTGAATGTGCTCAACAACAATCGATAATCAAAAACCAAAACTTTCCCGAACCAATAAACAGTGTCAAAGAGAACAAAGAATTTTCAACAATAAAGACGCAATTGCCTGTTGTTGCTGAAAAAAATTGTGTGGTGTTGGTGGAGGGTGGCACTCCAAGTAACTTTATACGCGGTGGCGTATCAGCCGTTGTGCCTACTGGGGCAGCTGTAACTCCGGACATAGTATCTACGGTTACCAAAACTGCTATCCCTAGACCTATGCTCAGAGTTAGCCCAGTTGTTGTTCTCCAAAAACCGTCAATCAAGCGAAAAACTGTGAATGAAGATGCAATCCTTCCGCATGTTCCCATGCGTTGAACATACATTCTATTCACTCCCAATAAAGAAATATAAAATCATTTTCTAAATAATGATCTAGTTACAATGCTACCTAGAGGAAAAGTTTGTAATTCTCGGAGTAGTTTGGAGACAATATAAAAATAATGTACAACAAAAAGTTGATCTTCACTGTTGACAACGGATTTTACTAAATGTCAAGATGAACAACTTTCAATATCACGTTGAAAAATTGCACTAAGTACATCTACAGCCATGCCAGCTTGTACAGGCGCCTATATTTCGAGACATGTGACATTACGTATTGTATTTTTACAACATATTGAAAAAAATATTGTTAATTGTCGACAAGTACAAAGTGTGATATTTTTGAATTAGTCAAATAAAACATATTTTTAAAATTGATGGATTTTGTTAAAAATTTTATATTCTGTATTGAACTTGAATGAGAAGTTCATGAAATACAAATTCTATTTGATGATGATATTTTTATAATAAAAGTGTAAAACATTTAAAATTGTCGTTGAGGTGAAAAAGCTATAGGCTAAGAAGAAAAGAATATATTTTGGGATATATATAAATATTGGTGAAAAATGGACAATTCACGTTTAGCTTCATACTGCATAAACTGCTGAGTGGGAGATATTCTATCATTCTCACAATTTCCATTAATCTGCATGTCATTATCTCAAAAAAGACGTATTTTCTTTATCCTCCCCTACAAGCGAGTAAGAACCGACAATAATGTATGAAGAGCACAATTGTTTTGGATACAAATAATCAAAACCATGTAATTACGATGAGAAGTACAACTTTCGATCAGAAGTACACTTTTGCCCATAACTTCTGCTTCATGCAAACACTATATACGCTGGCGTGTAAAATACTATGCTTATTGTAAAAGTAGCAGGAAAATCACAATAAGCATTTCGAAATATATTTATTACTTCTGATCGCGTCAAAAGATATGCGTAGATCTACGCCAAACCCAATTGTAGGTTAGGTCCAACGAAGCAATACCCCGCCACCATTTGTGACGTTATTTTTCATATTTTTTGATTGATGCCCCGATGAGAAAACCCTTGACTTTTCAAGAATTACTGGAGCGAGAGGCGCCATTTTCATTAAAATCTGTTTGAGCAGGTGCCGTAAATTATTTTCACAAGATTCTGTCGACACAACACAGAACACGATGAATCTCATCACTAATTGCGCAAGAACTGTGGCCCCCAGAAGCTCACAGAAGGTGCAATGCGGCCCGTCGCGCAAAAGTTAGTGGACGCCTGATCTAAAATCTATTTTATTATTGGGTCTAGACGCGAGGATCATGCTGAAGATGGCAATATCACCGTCCTTCACCAGTTTTCATTTCCGGCGTACCTAAGAGTTGATCATCGACGTTAGGCTTGAATTTAGTTGTTATTCATTCTTTTTGTGACTTTATTTACGATCAGTCGATCGCCAATTTCGAACGATATAGGTCGAAGACAGGTTGATCACCCATGATTCATAGCATATCAATTTTACACACCCGATGTGCCATTCAACATTTACAATGATGTTTAATTAATTAACAAATACCTACAAATGAATATTTAATGTATTATTACGTTTATTCAGGTAGTGTGCCAACACCTTTCGCTGAATGATTTATAATAAGTATCCATGAGGCTATGCATTTTTTATAAAAATATTATTCCTCGTTAAAGTATAATCGCATTGCCGACTGATTTATCCCATTCTAATTACCTGTTAAAAATACGATTTGAGCGTTTCACTTCATAAAGCAGTGGCCTAATTAAAAGGTGGTTCATTAGCCATTCTTTTCTGTAAATAATAATTATACAGAGCTAGCAGTTTCAATTATGTACACACATAGCCTAACACAAACAAATATTGAAAACAGTAAATTATAAATATTGAATATAAATATTATAAACAGTAAATTATATATATCGAAAACTGTACCGTCACTTAGAAACTTCTAATATGTCCATACCATCAAGTTCTATATTTCACTTTCATATGTTTATATAATTTTTGCAACTCAAATGTTGTAAGAAAGTTGATTGCTACATCTCCCTATCATAGCAAGTTATGAAATATACAATAATAACAAAACCATAATTGCAATGTAGCTTTAGAGCAGTGATTCTCAAACTAGGGTTTGAGAGCCGCATCTTTCCTGCGGCTCTTGTTAATGCTTCAAAATTAAATATTTTCAAAGGAAATTTTTCATTAAAAACTAATTATTGACTTGAAAATAAAATGCGGAAGTCTTTTAGTCAGTCGAATGGATTCCCCCGTGTTTATTTGAGTAGCATTGACTAATCTACAATATGAAATAGTGACGCGGGCACTCGAACACTTTTCACTCGGAAAGATTTTAGAGATGGATGTAATCATTGGTATGCTTTCGTGAATTTTCAGTTTTTGTCGCATTTCCGAATATTATGTATAAATCAAATAACTCCATGATTGTTTTAGTAGTATACCCTAGTAGTACACATCAGCGACAGCTGTTGAATACAATTAAGGGCCGATTTCAAAACCAAATTTATTTTATTCTGAGTTTTATCCTCTGCCTTGGATTTGATCTTCCTTATTACCGCTTGTAAATTAACCTTGCCTGTTTAAAATGAACGGAATCCGAGATGCAGATATTTATTAAAATGATAATTGAGTTTCTCATGCTTTTCTATGGTGTTCGTGTTATTTTAGTATTAGATAGATAGATAAACCTAGCAAATTTACGATTTCGTGAATCCTGAATTTTGATTCAAAATAGCGATTAAATAATTGGCAATAAAGGCATTTCTAGGCCTTCGGGTCTAATAGAGGGTCAGACGCTATTTATAACTAATTCCTTCAAGTTTTAACGTTTTTTTTTTCAACAAAACAACACCCCGATGGTTATTATATGATTATGTCATGCCCTAAGGCTCAATTATTACTGCCCAAATGCTTAAAAATTTAACAATTGTAATCATTTTCGATGATAATAGACGCAACAATTCGTGAACGAGTCAGTGTGCATTGTTACAACGAAATTCATGATTGAATTTACGTTCTACTCTTGGTTCAACGGCCATGCATGTTCGAGTAAAATGTTTACATATTCGAAACATTACTTGGCCAAGGATGCAAGAGATCACTAAAGAGCTGATACAAAGTGATTTAAAGAGAGTGGGACATGACATTTCTTATATGGTCACAACTTAATGAGTGTTTTTCATACAAGTAACCTATACCAGCTTTTGGAAAAACTTTTGGTCATTTTTAAATCCATGCTATTTATATAACTAGAGTTTTCTAACGACCCAAAATCGCCGTTTTCACAATGAAACGCCGAAAAGTCATTTTAACATTTAATTTTATTCAACTTTATGTTCGGTATTGCAAGAAATGGCTAATGACATGTCACCAAGCATGCGGAGTTTAAAATCTGGGAAATTTATTTTAAATACCCAATCTGGTATGACGTTTCTAAATTTACGGAACGGTCGGTACGTTCTTTTTTGCAAAATATGGAATTGAAACGATACGTTAGGTGCAAAGATAGTATATTAAAACACTATAACCATAAGACAACCACTTTTCAAATTTGTCGTTTTTTTCTAATAGCGAGCGCCGTTGGGAAATCTCGCAGAATTCACAAATGAGTTGGAGACGCGCGAGTTCGGTGTCCAAGCAGAGCGGCTCAGGTCACGTGGTACCAGATATTCGAATAGTAAAATGTCATTCGAATATTTTAATATTCGAATATTTTTCTCAGCCCTAGTTGTTAGGTGTGTTTTTGTTACGATAACTTTGTATTTTAAATACGCGCTTAAGGTTGGTTGATATTTTACCTAGCGTTATTTGTGTGCGCTTGACTCTTCATAACTTTGAGGTGTGAAATGCGACTCTGGGACTAAAAAAGTTTGAGAATCACTGCTTTAGAGCAGGGGTGTGCAACCTTTTTTGCAGGCAGGCGGGCCTAATATCAATAACTGGGTTAAACCGCGGGCCGCACCTTCACTTAACATGGTCTTTCTACTAGTTGCATGCACGAAATAGAGTCTTTTGTTATTGAACTCATGTCGTCATCATGAAGGGTTCTTGCAGGAATAATGAGTTAAAACGCATAAATTTCCCAAAACTATAATTCAAATATATTGTCACACCCAATTTAAACAAATTCAGTGAAAAATTTGCTGCTGGATTCTTTTCCCAACTACTTTTATCCAAATTTGTTTAAAAGGAAGTGCTAGCAACTCGATATAACGTCCATTTTAGTAAAAAGTATGTAACCCAAAAGTGCCATGTTTAAAGCCATGACTTTTTTCAAATGTGGAAAGTTATCTTGGTTGAGATGTTTTTGGTATAATACACCAAGATTCATTTTCAAATACTTTGCTGTCAAATCTTATTCTAGATTAGATTTAAACAAAATTAACTGATAGGCCGGAACCAAAACTCATTTAGCTTTTGTATCTCATTTTTCTCTTAATAGTGAATTTTTTCAAATCGATTTCCAGTTGCCTAATCTTCAATTGCCCGCTGTAATAAATTCATTAGCGTCTGCTCCGTATTTTCATTTAAATGTTCGCTGCTCGGCATACTAGCTTTGTGAATCGAATCGTGTTGTTCGCTTCGATGTTAGGACGTTGTAAAGTCATAGACATAGATAATAAATTGGACTCGAATATAAGCTTTGCAGCGCAAAGGGAAACAGATCAAACTAAATTAAAACCTAGTTTAGCTGGCCACACACCCTTCAAAATTGGCACTTCTCCGCGGGCCGCAAGATTTCTCCTCGCGGGCCGCATTTGGCCCGCCGGCCGCCCTTTGCACACCCCTGCTTTAGAGTATAGTGTATATCGAAGTACGCTTTATACGTTACTTTAGACTGGGATTAGTTAATTGGGTTAATTGGACGCTGATGCAGTTATTTGATATAATACCAGCATATTGTTTCCTATAGACCGAGCCAGCTGTTTAATCGCCAACATGCTTTTAACTCATCACACGATGCACGGGGGATATGATTCCAAATATGTCGAAATCCTTTCTTTTTCAGATTAACTATCTTCGTTGAGTTGTTTTTCCATAAGGCAACAATTTAACGATAGATCCGTTTAAAAGTTAACAGTGTAGGTGGATATTTGATTATACTAGGCTTCTGTATAAACATTTCTCTTTTATATGTAGTTGTGAAATGAAGTGTGTTTGCGCTCTACAACATTGTATTTAAATATAATTGCTGAATGGCTGGTTAAATGCTATTGACTTATTACAAAGGGACTAAAATATTATTGCCTACTTGAAAATTTGAGAAAAGTGCGAGCAACACTTAAATGCTGTTTATATTTGTGGTGAGCAACTCTATAATACAGCTCTATTAGGAATTTAGTTATTATTGAAATTTATTTGGATCTGATCCTGATAGAAGTTAAATATATATATAAGACTTTAATCAATACATTCAACATATCCGTTGTCAAGTTTGCATGAACATTCATGATATAATTTAATAAATTTTTAATAGTCTATACCCTATACGCTTTCATTATGTTAATTTTGTTTATTTTACTTTAATTTCTATTTTATAGAATACATGAAATGTTTTGCGTGTCGAAACTTGCTTTTCTCATTTTCTATACTACTTTATGGCATGTTGAACCTGCCGAATCTGATGATCCACCTGGGCATTTACAGCCATTTGGAAATCACATGCCTCCATTTGAAATAGATGTCATAGATACTCCTCCAACAGCCCAAGAATTTCTAGATAAGTATATTAAAGTTAATAAACCCGTTGTCATCAAAGGAGCAGCGAAAGTATTTGATATTTTCAAAACATGGAAAGATGATGAATACCTCAGGTTTGTGGAAATTGATTGCAAATTGTAGATTCAATGAAAAGCTATTTGAAACAACCCAATTGCGTTAGCATACATTTTAATGTTTGGAATACGATGGTGATTGAAAAACCAGTTTTACAAATAACTCATGATAATCTAATTATAAATATGTAAAATTGTATTCAATGTTAAATATTATTCCAGAACTCAGAATTGATTCTTGAATATTAGATTGCGCGGATGTTAATATTAGGTTACTAATCTGCTTTGTTCTAACTAATCTGACATTCATAGATAATATTTCTGTTTATCACGATCGAAATAGCCTAATTCCGGAAGTGAGAGGTACCAAAATGGGGTCACGAGTGCCTATATATAATATCCGCCCATTTGTCACCTTTTTTATTTTTATTATTTTCTCAAATTTACAGAATAAAATATGGAAAATGGATATCTCCCATTGAACTCGCGAAAATCGAGTCAGGACCAGAAGGTTTGATAGCCAGAATGCCGTTCTCGTGGTTCTTATCAAACTACGAAAAGAAAGATTTAGCTATATTGAGAGATATAGCATCAACAAATCCAATGAGGGGTGAGTCAACACTCTCTTCGTGGCATGACAGCATATAGTCAATAATAATTAATAAAGAATGAATATTTATACCTCCAGACTTCGAACACTTCAATGTTAGTCGCATCACTATATTATATTCGTTAGCTCGAATTTACCAATTTAAATTTGACACCAAGAAATTTGTCTGGATATGTTTATGATTTATACAAAATTCTTTATCGTTGGACATTTTTTTTTAATCAGATCAAATTGAACAGCTTTAGGTTTTACAATAGATAGTACTTTCTGTCCCCTAAATCGCACCATAGGTCGTTGCTTCAGTTTTTGACTGTTTCGTGTATTTTTTTTTACATCTGATAAAGCGGCTTAATTTTGTTGAAATTTATCGTTCTATCAACAAAAACTATGAAATTCTTGGGTCATCGTGACTCGAAATCGGCTGATTATTCCAACTTTATTCGATTCCTCTTATAAACTTTCTTAAATCTATTTTGGGAAATATCTAAACTTTGGAAATTACTAATTGAATTTATTTAAAATTATTTAAAATTATATTTAGATGAAATATCCGTTTTAAAATCTATGTCATGTGGCGGATTCAAAGACCTTTTGACTGATGTAATATTCATATTTTCATCTGGATCTGGCGAATCAGCGATACATTGGGATCCTGCCGAAAATATGCATTGTTTGCTGGACGGAACAAAAGACTGGGCAATTATTCACAGGGTAATAAACTATTCATATTTCACGACACGTTTATTTCATGCAACAATGACGAATAAGTACACATACCTCTGTTTCTAATAAAAAATAATTTAGACTAAAATTAGTGAAAGGAAATGATATTTGGTTGAGGTTTTAATATTTCTTAGATAATTCTTTGACTTAGGTATTGCATAAATCAAATATGTTCTTTGAATCAATTTTGAACAAATAGTGAATGAGACAGAGATTCATAAACCCCGGTTCATAGACCAAGATGAGTAAAGTATTTACTTGGTCAGCTTTGTCATATGTTTTTGTAAGAGTTACGTGTTGTCGAAGAATTTTTGTACAAGGAAGACTATAAATAAATATTGTAACAAGTACCTGTGTTTTTTGTTTATATTTACAAGCTCCAATACATTTATTTCAAAAGAAAGATCGGCATATTCTTCCAAAAAGCAAGGAATCAAGTATGTATACAAGCGTAAATCAGAGCAGCATTGACATGTATAAATATCCGGTAATGCAAGATATTCCTTGGTACCATGCATTCATTGAAGCAGGAGATTGTATATTTGTTCCTAACAGGTGAGAAAGGTCAAAGTACAGCTGAAGACAAAATAATTCCCGTCTATGAACTGAAATTTTTCAGCAGAAAAGATGATGTGAATTTTTCTGATCATTTTTATGAACAATAGTTGTACATGTGTTATTAGTATACGAGTATTTTCTTGATTAAAAATGATTACAGTTGAAATTTATGTTCTATTGATACTTTAAAAATGATGTTGAAGTACAAATCTTGGAAGTACAGTTTGAATTTTTCTACTATTTTGGCCTAGTTCACCACATTACGTCAGATCGGGGGATTCCAGAAATATGGCGATTTCAGTTTGGTTTGTTGTACCGGGGTCTCTCAATCTTACAGATTGCCCCGAAGATGAAGCAGACCTACCGGATTCTGCACCAGTTGGTCGCGGCCATGTATCAAGATTAGATCATATTAAGTAAGTTTAGCTATGCCTAATACAAGTTTATTATGAGTATTTATCTATGGGCATTTTCATAATTTCCAGTGGTTGCCTGCAACTCATATATGAATAGGCGTTTCGATTTTATCTGAGGCTTCCGGTTCTTCTGATAAAAGGAAACATATAATATTATAGATTATATCGATCAGTGAACTTAATCTATTAAATAAAATTAGCATAAAATATGAGCAATTTGAACATTGTATAATTTGTTATATAGCCAGTTTGAACAGGGCTAAATATTATATGTTACTTTTATTCATCAATATTTATGGTATATATCTTCTATTCCACTTGTTATACCATTACAAATTTATACTCCAGATCGATGGTATATATGCTCATAAATGATCGAAGTGGGAATATTTCATTACCGACATTTATAGAGAATGGAGTTGGGTTGTATCAGCTGGAAGAATTTGGATACATGATCTTCGAAGCTATTGACGAAAATGAAGATGGTCAGTGGTTTTTATTCATAGTCCATTTTAGGCGCTCCCGTAGTACGTGAACCAAGATGGCGGACACGTGAACATAGTATTGTACAAGGTTGGGGTTAAGCCATAATTTCTTTCCAATTTTTCTTATTTTAGTTTTATTCAGGGTTCGGGGACTAAACAATTGACTCTCGTAGTATTTGTACCTGAAATTATGGCCTAACCCTAACCTGGTATATACACTACGTGCCGGTGTCCGCCATCTTGGTTCACATACTACGGGAGTACCCCATTTTATTGTCACCACTACAATACTTTATTGTCTCGGTAACTCTTGTCGCTTCATTCGTCATTCTTCATTCCACTTCGCTCAGAAATCAGTCAATTTTGCTTCTGAGTGGGTGCGCATGAGCTTGCTTTTTTCTAGGAAAGTATTATCATATAGGAATATATTACCCTAAGACTTCCTTCCTATCATTATCTTTATGAATTATATGTTTTTATTTTTCTTGTTTTATTTTTTATTCTTTGGAATTAGAATAACCACACTTGGTACATTAATAAAATAATGCAATAAAGATGACTGCACAAATCTTGAAACTTTGTCTGTTTCAATTATTCTGTCATAAAAATAAATATTATTTTAAAATAGACTGTTAGGAACTAGGCATAAACACTAGACAGCTCTAAAAATTCTCTATTTCAGAGGTAATTACTTCAGAAGAAATTGAAGCACTTACTGATGTATCTGAAGAATTCTGGAACGTATTCTCAGATAACAAAAAAGAATATTTTGTGATAGAAGAGAATGGAAACATCAAAGACATGATAAAGAAGGAAGAATTGTGAATAAAAAAAACTACGTTATGAAACTATATTTTAACAGAATCATTTCTGCAAAAAATCATCGATCGATTAAAACTTCGTATTGTTCGTGTATTGAATAAATATAAAATATCATGTCTTATCGATTTTTGAAATATCACCGGATTCTATTCGTGATTATGTGATTGAATTAAAATTGTAAACAATCTAATATATCATCATTTATCCAGAAGGAATAAAAACTTATAATTACTGCTTCCTTTATTTATTTTAAACAACAAAAGATTTTGAAAGTAACCCCCAAACTCGACTGATAGATTGAATGGCCTTTTCTAGTCGAGCCGTATGTATGTGTTCTCAATGATATCTAGTCACTGTTATATTGACATAAAGGTAGTTTATTTGGAAAATAAAAATCAGAAAGATAAATCAATTGCAGATTCATTGCAATAACTGTAATTCGGTCAATAAGACGACGTGAGTCATAGTCCTTATTGCTTTCACTTACCCCGGTGGAAAAAATGATATTTTCTGTGTCAAAAATTACTCCGCTCGGAACAGATACAATTAGTTCGAAGTAAAATATTACAGACAAGCATCTGATTGCACATGCGTGTATATGATCTGAAATCTTCTGATAATACAATGTATGCACATGTGAGGTGTCGAATGTAATGACTTCCTGTTACTAAATATAACGTAATTTCAGATGCATATGGTTAATTTGAAATGCTCGATTACTTGTCGATCGATGCAAAGCATTTTGGCAACATATATAAGAATTAAAGTCCTATATGAAAATTCAAATTTGGTCTAAAAACTGCGCGCTGAAAGTGTGCTGTCACTATTACGATTTGTGAGCTTTGTCAAATAAACTGACTCAAAACACTAATAGCCACAAGTATGTAATCTGTAGATTTATTTCTAATAATTTTGATACCTCGGACGAATCGGCAATAGCCTGGTACGATACCATATCAGTTAATTTATTTATACATACAATAAAATAACAAATTGTGTGCTTTGATTGAACAGAGACATTCTACAGTGAAAGTAAATACAATGATAACAAGAAAATCGAGTTCTTGACTTAATTGGGAATGACGTAACGATCAAATCAACTGCAATATCTCGTTGAAAAACTATGTTCTCAATTACAACCTAATTTATCTACCTTTTAGCCATTACGAAGAAAATTCTGAAGATTTAATTTTGGTGCAACAATACAGTGCCAGAAATGTATAAATTTCATTCTTTATAAGCTACATCTGGCATTGCCAACTTTGACAAATGATAAAGGACACTGTGACAGATATCCCAAGTTTCAAATTAATTTACTGCGTTTTTATTTATTAAAATCGAACTATTGCTTATTGCTGAATCAAATAACGATGTGAAGTCGTCATCTATGTGAGATACAACGTAATCTACATTTTTGATGAGTGATATACATTATATCTAAAGATATAATCGTGTAACGGTAATCTATCTCTTTTTTCCTATAAAATATTAGTTCGAAAATTTATAGGAATACTGCTACTAGAAACACCACTGCTTTATCTCCCTCAACCTTTCTACCTTCGATCCACTGTTCTATCCTGGTACACTGCCCCATCTCCCTCATCCTTCTTATCCTAGGTAGCCCATGTCACATTGTATGTGACACTACGGGACATTTTCCGCTTTACACAGCGGCCTCTATCATCTCTTAAATTCTAACAATAAATCGTAAACATAGGTAAAATCATGTCCTACAGCACTGCAAACACCTTATCTTTATTAACTTAAGTCCGACGCATCTTTTTGAAATGAAATAACTGTACCCAACAATCAAACACTTTTTGTTATGAGTCATCTCATGTCACTTATATCAAAATTTCAAACCATAATGTGTAAACCATCAGAAAAATAGGTAGCATTTTAACTTTTTCCGTGAAATGAATGCAGTCCAATAAAAATAAAGTGTCTTTTGATTTGAAAAATACAAAACAATTACTTTTACTGCACTTTTTTTTTAATTGATAAAATTCAACATTTGCTTGGAATGGCCCAAGTGAGTCCGGGCAAGCCCGATAGTGAATATCATTACGTACCGAGTTTGTACGATGCCAAGGTACAAAATGAACGCGCCAAATATCTTGTGTCTTGACTGACAAACGATCTTAAAATAACTTCCGCTGTATGCAAAACTCATTGTCTCTTTCATTAGTTTGATAAATTTTATTTGCAACGGTAGCAGTGGCGTCAGAACTTTTGCCCAATTATCTTAATTTCAAGCCATCAAAGAATTGGGCTTGGGGGAAATTGTAAACTAGACACTAAAGTTTGAGTTGTCATGTAACCATTGGAGTTTCGCTGTTCAGATGATACATGGATATTTACAATAACATAATAAAATTAACAAATTAAATGGAACATAAAAAATGAATTTTTGTATGCGTGTTTATAAAAAATGCGCGTTTACAAAGCCGGATATCAGGTATGTATGGCCCTATTGTCTACTAATAAGTTGATCACGAGTTATTATGAAGATTTTAGTTGATCGCGGTCGGAAGCATGTTGGCCATCCCTGTTATAGTTATGTAGCTGGAATACGATACCCCCAAACATGTTAAAAGCTGTTCTTGTTAAATCAATTTAAAATTCACACAAAAGATGTATATATGATATTTTAAACAATGTTCGTTCGAGTGTAACCTCATTATGTTGTGGGTAACTATACACCACCTTTCATTCGCAAAACCGCAGAATTCCCCTAGTTAGCGACGAAAAGGCAGAAATTTTAAGTTTGTAATTTGAATACTAGATAAGTGAATTTTTGAAATTTTTACATATATTTCTACATTACAACCACACGCATAATTCTCAGAACTGCCATTTCTACCAAAGCTAGGGCATGATAATTGATTGTTACAGATATAGTGGTAAATTAGCGAATCGTATTGACTGAATGACTCTAGTAGTGATAATGAAATTTTGCCTGGTGAGATTTATGTCTGATATCTAATTTTCGGCACTCGGCTTTTAAGAAAATTGTCCAAGCTGAACTTTTGAACCAGTGTGTAGTGAATTAAACAGTTTGTTTGGAAGCATTTGGCTCTTGTATCGGCGGAGTAGATGCTTTCCCAAAAATGTCTACATATTCACAGAAATTTCTGGAGTGAAAAATTGAAACGCTCCATTAAAGTTTGCAATGAGAAAAAATTAATTAAAATCAATAATAGTTAAACATCAACTGATGTGTTGAAATTTTCTCATTTTTTTCAAACCCAATATTTCGCATAAATTGCGTAATTGGAAAATTCAATAGGTAATTGTCTCAATATTTTGTGACGAGTGTGCTATACTTATACGCAGGTATCGACGTAGCTGAAACATGATATTTTCAAAAACTATTCTGTGCTCGTTTAAGTACATCTGAAGTCCACACAAAATAATCTGCTTTGTCAGGCTTGATTAAGGGTGACCTAATTTCGTTTTGGGTGACTTTTTATCATTGAGAACCCGTTGTTCGAGCTAATTTCAGAAGATACCTGCTGACGACTCATTTGATCCTTACGGGCGACATGATGCCCGTTTGGCCATTGATGCAAATATTGATGGGAAAACAAGACTATTGTTATTACTAACATTTGGCAGTGGCTTTACTAAGCTTATAAACATTATAGATTTAACGAGAAGTGTTCATCAGCTTAAAAATTTAAAGAATGTATGTTTGCGTGCTAACAATGAATTGACGGCCCACTGTGGTATGTGCAATTTATTGCATGCTTTCTTTGGTAATTTGGTGAAGACACAGCTTAAGAATGATCTGGAAAAAAATATTGCTCAAAATAAGAGGGAAAATGTCAGGAAAGAGATGAATAGAAGTATCTGTAATTTTAGGAAAATATATTATATATATATACAGGCGCGCAGCCAGGATTTTTAAAAGGGGGGGGGGGGTTTCAAAATCGGAAATTACTAATGCCGTCTGTAACCGTCAACGCGATCACGCGCTCGTTAATAGAGCCGCATTTTCAGCTTCTGTCGCGTAAAATATTCAATTCATGACAACTACGAGATTCTAAAATGTCCTTACGTATATATTAATTTTATTGTCCCCAACGCAACTCGCGGTCTCGACTTTTCTACGTCAAAATAAAAACATTACTGCCGTGGACATAAAACAATGAGATAAGCTGCCTGATATATTTAAATTTTGATACGTATTTTTGCAATCTTGTGACCTCGTTATCGCCGTTATTAAAATCTCGATATCTGATATAAAATCACGTTTAGTACAATTTTACTTCATACAATGAAAATAGATAAAGTATACCAGTAAATCAAAAATACAAATTCATCGCCCCGAAATCCACGCCGAACAGTTGCCGCGATTACGTCACTTGTTAAAAGAGCCGACTTTTCTAACGAAAAATGATTTTTCTTATGCGCAAGGTAACTAATCCATGACCGATAAGGGCATATTTAAAATGTCCTGCTTTATTAATTTAATTGTCTTCTATTTAACCGCGGTTGCGCCGACAAACAAAAGCCACTCTAAAACACCACTTGAATTCCGCATTTAAAAATGTGTGGTAAACTGCCCCCTATGATACAATTGTTTTGACCGATATTTTTTCTATTTGCGGAATTCGGACAAATGGAGATGTCGGCTTGTAACATGTCGGTTGAATCGCAATGTCGCCACTCCGATTATTTTTTAAAGACTAAAAGCTTTCGAAAAAACCCGGAATCTGCTGTAATATTCTCATGGGAGTTAAATTTATTCAAGTAGAATAAATTGCATGGATTATACTTCAGAATGTAATTATGCTTATATATCATCACTAACTGGGAAAAAATCCGCGTTTTCAACTTTGTTTAATGGATAACACTGAAATTTTCGATCGAACAATCCTCTTAAGGTAATGGATCCCACCCACAATTAACCGTGTTTCGATTATAATGGTCGTATGTTCCTAAACAGCGAGAAAACATAATGTGTGCCTTGGGCACACGAAATGTTGCGATTTTCAAAAGCGTTTTTAGACTAGAAAAGCGTTTTTAGACTGTCGCGGGACTCAACAAATCTTATAGCCTATTGTCGATTTTCAGTCAAATTTAGATCGCGGGTTTACTCCTTCATTTGTCTTTAGAACCTCGCCGCCGATGAACGTATAATAACTCTCACCAAATTGACAATTCCTTGCAAAGTACAAAAATAAAATAATCATCATGTTTATCGTGGCACAAATTTGTGATTTATAGAGAATAAATGCCGACGTAAAGGCGTTTACTGCCTAAAGAACACACCGATGAAAACAATCGGCGATTTTAGCAGAAGGCAATTGCACGCTTTTTCAGTTTTCACAATTCCGTGCGAGTACAAAAATAAAATAATTATAATTGTTCTCGTGACACAAATTTGTGATTTAGAGCGAATAAATACCAAGGAGAAGGCGTCTACGGCCTAAATAACACGCCGCCTTGATGAAAACATACGGCGATTTTAGCAGAAAGCAATTGCACGCGTTATCGGCGACTTTATCTGTTTTCAAACCAACCCCCCCCCCCCCCCCCCCCTGGCTGCGCCACTGTATATATATATATGTATAATTTTTTTTTTTAAATTCTATTCATTTACTTACATATCATTATTACGAAGTAACAAGATCGTTCCGACAACATATTTTGTGCACGTTTATTTGTGCTTTTGTAGTAGAAAAAAAATTGTCTGTTTTAATTTTTTATAACAAGTATGTATCTGCACTTGTTCAAGTCCATTTCAAGACCACACAATGAAATTTAGCTTCTCTGTTTTCAAACAATGCTTGTTTGAGCGTAACCACATTTTAATGTCCCATCAGCAACAACCCCAGAATTCCCCCGGTTCGTTAGGACGGGACAGCAAATTTAATTACGTAAGACTGTAATTTGAGTGCTTGGAATGTAAATTTCGTGGTTGCTAAAAAACATCAGCCAACTGCACTCAATTGTCCATAAATGGAGTTAGCAA